AATCAGTATACGCTCTGCCTTCAGAGACAGAAAGTCACTGCTACCATTTTGGTATATGTCTGTGTGTTTTCTGGGCGTAAACATTTTTACCTACTTAACACCATAATGTATAAATTGTTTTATCCACTTTTATACTTAACATATTAGGACTATTTCCTTTAAGAGGTTCGTATTTTATTATTTTGGCTGGTCGCACAGTATTCCATCTTATGTTGTTTCCATTAATTACTTACAAATTTCCCACTGCTGAGTATTTACTGTCTAAACTTTTTCATTTTTATGAGAACACTGAGCTAAACATTCTTGTACGTTAGTTCCTGCACAACTCTGTCTTATTTAGGAAAAATCCTCATAAGCGGATTTGCTGGTTCAAACACTTTGTAAAAAATTTGGGATATATTTTATTGATCCTACTCCAGACAAGCTACCAACTTACACCTCCCACCAGAAGTGGCTTTTGCTTTGCATCTTCAAACCTGGAATTAAAATGATGCTTTGGCCAACTGCTGGTTGGTAAATTACACTGTGTTAAAATGTGCATTTCTTTGTCATTGCTTGTCTTCAGAGATCATTTTGACTTATTATTCATGGGGAATAAGCCTGAAATTCAGGCAAAAAATATTCTAACTCCTCCTTGTTTGGGGTGCTCTAAAAATCCATATACTATCTTGGCTGATAAGCTCTTCCTTAATCTTACAATACAAGAACCTGGCCAATCTCTTAAAAGATTACATTTCTCTCAAAGAAACATGCCAGACTATTGTGTGTTCATGTGCATGTTAGTAACCACACTTGTCAGGGAAGTTAGCTCCTTTGCTTACCCTTCTTCAGAGTTAATCAGCTCTGATAAACTATTTGTCAAAATAAAATGTCATTTTTGAGAATACAATTGTACATGCACCAATGGCCTGCCACAAAATGTAGTTTTTTTTCAAAAATGGAATAATCCAATTTCACTTAATGAATAAATGCTCATTAAAACATTAGACCACCTCTATGGCAATTCAAGGCAGACACTTCCGACCACAGGTTAACTTACTGTAGTGAGGAAGATAAAAAAGCATTTAATGGAAGGTACATATAACCCTCATGTGTAATTCAGAAGCAATTTTGGATCCATGTGCCAGAGTCTATGTTAATTTTTAAAAAATTGCTGGGGTCGATATTAATAGCATAATAGCTGTGCTAGAAAGAAGTCAGCAGAATTGAAATGGAGTATAGTAAATAACTGTAAAAAAAAAAAAAAAAAAAGGGCTGAATTATCCTACAAGGTGTGTGATCTAACTCACTGTGCCCAAGCAGAAGGGACATGGTGGCTCTGTGAAATCTGAAAGGAATATAAAGAACGGGATGGAAGAATCTTCTGGGAGAGTGAAACTGCACAAAATCTCCGCCTTGTTAGCATTGCCCTCAGCTCTCTTGCTGGGGCAGTGCACGTGTCACCATCAGCAGAAGTCCGTCCATCAGTCTCAATGCTAAAGGAGGAAGGTGCCCACACAAGCTGAGGACTCACCACCCAGGCTGAGCTCCATTGGAAAGCAGGAAGCGTTCTACCTAAAGGAAGGCTATTATCTGGACCTAAGAATTCACTCTATGACTCCAGAGAAACTATCCTATGGATGGTTCTAAGCTTGGCAACTCTGTAACTGATGTTTCTTCAGATCCCGGGTGATCATCAAGAAAACGCTGGTTACCAATGGCTGCACCATATTGCTTTTAGGTTTGCAAGTTGTTTTTCTGCTCATTTGAGAGAAGCATAGATTCTTGTTTTCTTACAACCTGAATCTTAGAGCAAATTGAGAAGGAAGTGTTTCTTTTCTGGGGGGCAAATAGCTAACTAAGTGGAATTCTTCAGTTTCTGAAAGTGTAATCTCCAGGTTCTTTTTCCCACCTAATGCAATGCTGCATTTTTCTGCATTAGTAGTAATGGCTAAAAAATATTCTGAGATTACCTGAGAGCTTAGCAATGAGCATAACCCAATTTCATACATTAGTGGAATCTCTCTTTAAAACTATTGAGTTAGGGAATGTTAGTGATTAATAATCTCCAAATCTAAATTTTAAATATGTTGGTGCTGTCAAAAGAACCCCATGACTTGCTTCTAATCAACAGAATATGGCAAAAGTAATGGGAAGCCACTCCTTTGAGTATGTTATGTTATAGAAGATTGTCTGGCTAGCAGACACACTCTAGAGTCTCCCCCTTCACTGCTGGTTTTGAAAAAGCAAGCTTCCAAGGCTCCCACAACCACAAGAAAATGACTTCTGCAAACAACTATAGAGAGTTTGGACGTGGATCCTTCCCCAGTCGAGCTAGCAGATGAGACCCCAGTCCTGGCTGACACCTTGACTGTAGCTTTTCAGAGGAGCCAGGAGAACCATGCCCAGACTCCTGACCTACACAAAGAGATAATAAATGCATGTTGATTTAAGCTGCTAATTGTGTGGAATTTGTTATGCAGCAACAAAAGCAGATACTGATTTTGGTACTAGATGTGGGGCATTGCTGTCATAAGTAACCAAGTATGTGGGAGTGGTTTTGGGACCCCCATATAACAGCGGGTGCAGGCTGGAAAAATTAGGAGGAGGATAATAGAAGGAAAGAAAGCTGAAAATGTGTAACTTCTCTGATAATGTAATTTTATAAAAATGAATAAGCACTTATTGCCAGGGACAGAGAAACATCAAAACATTAGCTCATGTTTCACTAAACATGAACACTTTAGCTTTGGTTTAAAACCGTGAACACGGACAGCATGGTAACTATAGTTAACACTGTATTGAGTATTTGAAAGTTGCTAAAACAGTAAACCTTAAAAGTTCTCATCACAAGGAAAAAATCTGTCACTATGTATGGTGATGGATGTTAACAAGACTTATTGTGGTGATCATTTCATAATATATGCAAATATTGAATCATTATGTTGTACATCTGAAACTAACATGTTATATGTCAATTATACTTATATATTTAAAAAATTAAAACAACAAACATGGGGACAACCTGATGGATATAAACTAAGCAGATTGGATACAGTCATCCTTGGGAGGCTACTGGCCATTTTCATACCAAAAAAGTGTTAATTTTTCTCAAAATTTGTTTTAAGAAAAAATTTAAAGTATAATTGTTATATTAGTTTCAGGTGTACAATATAGTGATTCCACAATTCTATACATTACTCAGTGCTCATCATGGTAAGTGTAGTCTTCATCCCCTTCACCTATTTCATCCACTCCCCCCCCCTCCCGCCACCTCTCTGGCAACCCTCTGTATTCTATTTTTTGGTTTGTCTCTTTTTTTCTTTGTTAATTTCTTTTGTTTCTTAAATTCCAAACATTTGTGAGATCATATGGTATTTTTCTTACTTCATTTAGCATTCTACCCTCTAGCTCCATCCATTTTGTTGCAAATGGCAAGATTTCATTCCTTTTTATGGCTGAGTAATATTTCCTCTCTCTCCCTCTCTCTCTCTATATATAATATTCCATTATATACAATTCCAAATCATTCCATTATATATAAATATATATATATACCATGTCATTATCCATTCATCTATTGACAGATACTTGGGCTCCTTCCATAATTTGGCTATTATAAATAATCCCGCAATAATCATAGGGGTGCATATACACTTTTTAATTAGTGTTTCATATTCTTTGGGTAAATATCCAGTAGTGTGATTACTGAGTCATAGGGTAGTTCTATTTTTAATTTTTTTTGAGGGACCTCCATACTGTTTTCCACAGTGGCTGCACCAGTTTGCATGCCCACCAAGTGAATGAGGGCTCCTTTTTCTCCACATTCTCACCAACGTTGTTTCTTGTGTCGTTTTAGCCATTATAACAGGTGTGAGGTAATATCTCATTATAGTTTTGATTTACATTTCCCTAATGATGAGTGATGCTGAGCATCTTTTCATGTGTCTGCTGGCCATTTGTAGGTCTTTGCAGAAATGTCTCTTCATGTCTTCCGCCCCTTTTAAAATTGGATTATTTGAGGTTTTCTTGGTGTTGATTTGTATAATTTCTTTATATATTTCAAATACTAGTCCCTTATCAGATAATGTCATTTGCAAGTACCTTCTCCCATTCAGTAGGTTGTCTTTTAGTTTTGCTGGTTGTTTCCTTCGCTGTGCAGAAGCTTTTTATTTTGATGTAGTCCTAATAGTTTATTTTTGCTTTTGTTTCCCTTGCCTCAGGAGAACAGATCTAGAAAAATGTTGCTACAGCCGATGTCAGAGAGATTCCTGCCCATGCTCTCTTTTGGATTTTTATAGTTCAGGTCCCACATTTAGGTCTTTAGTCCATTTTGAGTTCATTTTTGTGTATGGTCTCAACACATTTTCTGATCAGCTTCAAACACAAAATGATGCTTCGGTACCTAAAGTGAATACCCAGTACTGACAGTAAGAGCAACAGATAATTTCTTCACAGAAGAATGTATGTGGGTCAAATCTAATAATTCTTTGGAAAAAAATTAAAATTAGTTTAAAAAAAATCAGCAAGCTAAGTGTGACACAGTAGTGTAGGCCAGCTAGTGCAGTTAGGTGTTAGATTGCCTGGCCTGAAGGAATTTGATGTGAATGAGCTGTGGGAACACACTGCACGGGCCCTTCCAGAATGCTGCGGCTAATCTGTTCCACTATGGAGCTGACATGTGTGAGAGAGGTGTCTCTCCAGTAGATTAAAAGCAGCCAGAACCACTGGGTTTATTGGCAAACCTCCTTTCTTATAAAAAAACCTAACTTAGAAGATGAGACTCTGTGGTAACCAGTTTTACTTTTTAAGGCCTTCCTAGGCAACCAAACATTTATGTGTATGTATTCTGTTTCCTGTCTCCCATACCTTGAAGGGTCCATACACTGTGTCACCATAGGCACATTTTGTCCTGTAAAAAGACAAGCTCTGTACAATGCAGAGGAATGAGGGCTCTGATGTCATGCGCATGCTACTAAACACAGACAATACTGAAATTATTACACATGGAGAATCAGAGCTTTAAATGCATTTACCATTTTTATTTTGCTATGCAGAAACATACATTCACCATGGGCTGTGTGATGCAGTTGACAGTGTAATGGAGAATATATCTTTTTGAAGGCTATTTATAACTAAACACTAAATAGTTTAATTACAGTGGAAATTCTGTACAATTTAAGGCTTGGCTCTGAACTAGATTGTAAATATGGACCAGATTTGGAAATAAAACACTTTTTTCTTTTTCAAGTAAAAGTAAAATCAACTTAAAAACACAAGGAAGAAGAAACGAAGAGAGAAAACAAAGCAACAGAAGCCCAACAGCTTTTTCTGGAGTGAAATTCCATAATATCGTAAACTAACAAAAACAGGTTTTCTTCCCCCAAATAATGACAATTTACATATTTAGGACTTGTTAGGGAAATCTTGGAAGCTTTCCAGGTTGGACGCAGACCAAAGCAAACAAGGAAGAAATCACATTAATATGCTAAAATCAGTACTACCTTATAACGAATCAAATTAGATACACAAAGCAGGATTGTAAGCATTAAATATTTCCAGAGGATTGAGAGTCGTTGCTGTGTATGGGTGAGAATAATAAAACCAGGTGAAACAAGTACGAGATTCAAGTTGTTTACTGAATAAACTCGGTTATTGGCACATCTAATCTGGGATAAACCTGACACATCGGACCTAGACAGCTTCTAGCATTTTAGGGTAATCTTCATTTGTCTGTAAACAAAAGATCTGTCACCTAAGAAATGGCGATTTTGTTTAGACTTTAATAATAAACTATGAAAGGCATGAATTGTTTATGTGTTACATGAGATCACGGTTTATATTGTTGGTTATGAACGTGCAGGTATAGCTGAAAACTTAGACACTTGGTGGAAATTAAAAATGCTACTCTTTTGTAATTTTATCGTTGCTTCATGCAATATCAGTTTTGTGATGCTGATTCGGATTGCTTTATTATGGGAAGATCTCTCTGCCAGTGTCTTTATTAATGGTCAAGGTCAGTTCTTCTGGGTTGAATTTTCCATGGGCAGATACAAGTCAGTTGGGTTAGAAGAGGGAACTCCATATAGGCTCTGGTTTTCCTAATGGTTTGCATGACTGGATTCATGTGCAGGCTAAGTTATTCCTGTAGGAAAGAGATTTGATCAGTTACTCCTTAGAAAATACCCGAGAGTCTTCCACAGATTAAGGCCACACACAAAAAAATCATCTTGCAGGTTATTACATGCACTTTTTGACAACATACTGTAAAATTCCTGCGTAAGTCACTGATATGCGTTCTCTTACGTAACTACAACATGACCCAAGCGGCTGAAGCTCACTGGAGAACCCTTTTTCTGCTTTCTGTCTTCCGAATAACATGATTAATTTGAACATAATGAGTGACCTTTTTTTTTCCTTTAAAGGAGGCTGCTGTTCAATGTATAGTCTCTAAACCAACATTAGAGAACTTCCTTATTTCATTTACACATGTAAAGCGTTTAAGAGACTTTTGTCACATAACCAAGAGTGCAAGTAGCTCGACAGTTGCATTCAGCATTCAAAGCCCTCTGGGGATGCTCTGGGCCCATGAGTTCTTGCACGGCAGGTGAGTGTGCATAACAAGTCTGTGCACACACAGAAGATGTATCTGCTCTCAACGCCAGCCAAACAGCCGTTGAAAAGACATGCACACACTTCCTAGAGAAAAGCAGGAACCCAAGGCTGCATTTTGGCCTCCTCCTGAGACATGACGCTATACTAAGAGGAAAAAAAACCGTCCCAAAGAATACAGAAAATATAAGACATCCAAAATCAAAGTGAATGCCCAGGTTTCAAATTCAGAAACAAAGCAAAACGAGAGCATAAATAGAAGCATAACCAAACATAGTCGCAGAGAAAGCTTACAACGAATGGGGTAATGTTGCCGTCCAAAGGAAAAAGGGGTACCTTTTATTTCCCTGGTATGTGGAACACACAAATTGTACCTTCCAGAACAAAGTGGCCTTCGTTCTGATTAGGTCACATGGCAAGTGAAATCAAATCTGACACTTCGAATTTGGATAACGAAGAGCACAGGGCATGAATGAAAAAGAAACACCAGCGAGACCATGCAAGCAAAGACTGCTTCTTTCTTGATCCTCTACCTGGCAGAACATGTAAAAAAGTCCACAGTATGGAACCCCCAAACCTGAAACAAACCAGCACCCACAAACCAATTCTGCACCCCCTTGGTGAGCAGCCCTGCCAATGCCAGTGAGAGAAGAAAGGAGGAGGAGGCAGGGGAAGGACAGAGGGAAGTGGCCCCATGCTACATGCCAGCCAAGGCCAAGCCTAGAGAATCAGCGTCACCTCTTACCTGGGGTCAATCCTCTCCATCTTCTGGTGTGATCTCTGTCTCTTTATGGACCACTACTTTGGTCACTGACATGTCAGGGTGCTGCTCTTTGGCCTCTTTAATTGCCTGAGCCAGCGCCTATCCCCAGGAAATCACAGAAGGGCAAAGACAAAAAGGAGGTAGAACATGCCATGATCAGTAGCAAGGTGGAGACTTACGACCTAGATCTATACACGTAATTTACAAATGAGGTACAATGATTGCAAAAGGAATCAGACATTGCATATTGAAAAGTTACTTCAGAAAACTGTTTAGACTGCATGATGGACTAGAAGAACAACACTGGGAAGAGTGGGGCTGACCAGTGTCCCTGTTTCTCTGCCAGGGTACTGACCATTCTCACGCACACTACCTGGTCATGGTCAATGTCGGCATCTCCTGTGATGACTATCCGCTTTTCAATTCTTGTCTCTGAAATGCCTCCTTTCACAGTCTGCAAGGGACAGACAAACATTACAAAGTTACCCACCTGGAAGAACGATCATGGTTCAGTGGGGGAAATGGCCGGAAATGCTAACAGAGTTTTAACTAACAGCATTCGTGAAGAGTTGAAACAATTCTTTGGCAATTACTTAAAATCGTTAATTTCAGAAGTGAAACTAAAATGGAGTCCTTTGGGTGTGGCTGGCCAGTGTTTCTGGAACACCGACCATATGCTAAGGACTAGAGTTCGTGTTAAGCAAGGGATTTCAGAATGCACATTCCTAAACAGAAAATGAGCACATAAGGGCAAATGCCCCATAGACAGAGTGGGTGTGAGATGCAGCTGTCTGGGCGTCCTGGCAGTCACGTAACTCCGCCTGTGCAGCCCAACTGGGAAGAAGCTCCGTGTAAGTGCCTTCCTTTTATCTGTCCCCACTCCACTTACTTTGGTGATGTGGGTGGTGGTCGTGGTACTGGTGGTTTCAGATGTGATCGTCTGTGCACTCATTAGCACGCCTGGCTCCAAATCCGCACCAGCATCAACCTACAGAAGCAAAGGAACAGACACCACACTCAAATACTTATGTTAGGTCAGGGCATCACAATGACTCAGTCATCTCCCACAATCACTGTGTTGTCCAATCGGCATACGGGAGCTGCGGCCCTCCGGACAAACTCACGCGAACACGGCCAGAGGTAACCGTCATTAAAAAACTGGGACTTGAGAAATGTCAGTAGGGTCTGCTTCAGCTAATATTTTTCCTTATCTACGGCTAGAGAAATAGGTTTCTGAGCCTTGTTCTACATTTTGAGATATATGAAGACTTGTTTAAGTCACCTGATGTTTCTGGATCGGTAATAAAGTTTTAATTAATACCATTATCACTCTTGATATACACAGTTTAGCTGCTGGGTCCTCTGAGTCTCATGAATTAAATGTCATCTAGTTATACTAGAATGCAGTAAGCCATTAAAGGGGCAAAACAAAGTGCCAGGGCTCTGGCCTTCACAGACTTCTTACCTGTGATGATTCATATGTGATGGTTTTTGTTTCCGTGTGAACGACCGGTACTTCCTTGGTAGAAATTTCTAGCTTTACTCCTCCTGGTGAAACACTGCCAAAACTGCTGGTTTCTGTCTTCACAGCTGATGACTGTACCAACAGGAAGTAGGCAGAGCCTGCTATTATGGTTTGCACAAAGACATGATTTTGTACCCCCCCCCCCCCGCTGGTGGGTATGGATAAGCACAGGTTAGTATGAAATAAATGTTTATGTATAACATGGGGAGGGTAAATTGAGGAATGAGGCAGACACCAGGTCAGTCTTTCAGAATTCCATAGACTTTTTTTTTTTTTTTTAACATGGGCTATTCCAGGTAAAGGAAAGCATTTGGAAAGAAATGTTTAACGAACTCTTTTTACGCTCCCCTCCTCTATCACCTAAACTAATAAGTCAAAACTCATCAATTAGCCTTTTATTTAATAACTTCTTAGAAAGAAGGAAGAAATACAAAGACATCAACTGTTCCCTACTCCATATACTTCAGGAATCTCAGTAAAAGAGATAAAGAAGAAAGTTCTGGCATTTGGTACCAAGGCAAGCATGGTTTTTGGTCCTTCTGGGGAAGTACACTGATCAAAAATAAATTTATCAAATTTTCTATATCTTGGTTGGCCATGCATTCCCCGGGCCAATAATTACAATGAAGGCAGGAACTGTTTCCTGGAACCACACGTTATTAATTATTAAATATGTTTGCATATGACCCCGAAGATGGAGACCAGCATGGAGACCCTATTGCCATGGAAGAGGGAAATGAGAGGAGAAACAAACTGCACTTGGAGAAGGCAGAAAATTAAGCTTAGCTCCCCGCTTTAGGCTTAACTAAATTTCAGGGACTCACAGATCAGTTTTACATCAGTGCTGAAAGCAATGTCAACTACTAGTTACCTCAAAATGAGGTTTTTGTTCCCAAGTTTCAGAAACGTGGATTGTTGCACTCTGCTCCTCCACTGGCTCGTGGGAAGCAGTGGCCGTCTCTTTCTGTTTGAGGACAGCTTTCTCGGCCACCTCCCCCTTCTCCTCCTCAGCTCCCTCCATCAGAGCAGAGCCCTCCTTCCCTTTCAAGCTAGAAGCATCAGCAGATGCTGCCTGGGCTGCGGCATCCAAGTCATCTCCAGCCACGTAAGAGGCATCCCCACTCGCATGCACATTCATCACAGGTCGTTCCTCCACCAACACGGTTTCCTGCACAACCTTCTCGGTGCTAAGTGGTGGGGGGTGCTGGCTTGCTTCTGCCTCTACCTTGCTGGACACAGTCTTGGTTTCCATTTTCTGCATGGGAAAAGATTGTGGTGTCAGTGTGACTTTCCACAAACCAAAGGTGAAAACACAAAAATCAAAACAAAAGCAGCCACTCACCAGGGCACCTAAAGCCAGTGTCAAGAGCTTATGACCAGAAATGCTTATAGAAAATATAAATTAGCTTGCATTCCTCCCACCAGGGTCTCGGATGAGTGCCCCCTGCCCTGACACCCTTCCCCCCATGCCCCCCCCACCCCCGCTGCCAAGCCTGTGTTGCTATGTTGGGATAGCCACCAATGAAACAGGATGTGGATAAATGAAATAGGATGCGGATAAAACGCAATGAAAACAAAACAAAATGAAAGCACTGTAGTGTGTTCCCATTGGTTCTGGCAGCTTTCTGAGACCTAAGAGGTGACATAAAATGCTTAAAAAAATTAAATGTTATGAAACTTTTTCAACACGATTGCTGAAATCTGAATTTTGAATATCTGAACTATGTTCTAGTGATGCAACTAAAGGCACATGACAGCTATGCCAAGCAGGCACAAAGGAAAACCACCGAAGATACCTCTGAGGTGTTTAAGGCAAAGCCACTTGAGCAAAACACACACACACACACACACACACACACACTCACTCACTCACACATACGTGCACACACCAAAAAGGCTAAGAAAGGAAAATAGGCAGCGTCAAGAACACCAAAGAGGAAGCAATTGGCCACCTGAACCCAGCTTTGAGAAGTAGAAGTAACCCCTCCTATGAATTCTGTTGGTTTTCTTGCAGACTCTAATAAACTGAAGATTTCAGAGCCATCCATGAGCTTTTCAGCAGAAGACTGTTTAGTCTGAGTGAACAAAGAAACGGACAGTCAAGCACAGAGACAGGAACATAGGCGGGCACATTCACATTCACAGCTGGTTAGACAAAACTGTAGGGGAGGAAGGAGGGAGGAGGGAGGAGGGACTCTACCATACAGATTTTGGAAACGGGAAAGAATGGGAAACAAAATAGCAAATTGAGGCGACCATGAGCTCTGGTTTGGGAAAGCAGAGAGTTATCAGGATATGGGCGGGGCTGGTTTAAGCAGACCATTCTCCCTTCATTGCAAGCCCCAGGAGCACTACCAACCACATCTCGGGATCGGGGAGCTGGAAATAAAACGGAAAGTGTTTTAACGCTTACACGGTATTGATCTAACCATGAAAAAAAGTAAAAAGCTTGGGTTGGCTGCTCTCAACATAAAGCCAAACAGCAAGAGGAACAGAAAAGTTGAGGGTGGAAGGGCACTGCCTCAAATAAATATCATGCTGGAATCTGAAACGGTGGCCCAAATGAAAGGCACTGGTTACCACAACTCGGGACGTGGCCGACTCGGTAACGTAACGAGCAGTGGCCACGGTGACGGCCGGTTCCTGGGAGTATCTCCACTCGGACAGGCTCTTCTGCCTGGGACCAAAGAGTCCCACTCTCAGGACCTCGCCCTCGGGTGGCGGCTCCGTCCTGCTGAGGCGTGCGCTGTCCAGCCCCGCGTGGGGCCCCGTGTCCTGGCCCGGCTGTGGGGCTTTCTGCAGCTCTTCTGCCTCGGGGCTCGGCTGCCGGGACTCGGCTTCCTTGATGGGAGCCAGGGATTCGGACAATTTCTGTTTGGGGGTGTGGACCTCGGGTCCTCTTTTCGATTTCTCGTCAGGGCCGGCATCCAGGACCTCGTAATCGGCCATGCCTGGAATGATCTTCACAGACTCTGACAACCCTCTGTCTGTTTTTGGAAAGGCTTCCAGACTGCAGGGCTGCACCCCCTTCTCCCCCTCCTTGGCTTTTCCAGTCATGGTAACGATCTTCCCCGATACAGTGTCATAGGATTTTCCTAGAGTGTATACTTTCTGTTTGCTCTCTCCTCTCAACTGCATTTCCTGGGCCAAGTCATCGAAGCTCTGCATTTCAAGGGCACCAGATCTTAACAGATCGGCGGGGATGTCACCACTTCTACTGCTCACGGTCACCACCTTGTAAGTCACAATCTTTTTCGAATCACCATCAACTACCTCAGTGGGTACTTTGTCTACAATAACCCAATCCTCTGTGCCCTATATTTGAAATATAAAAGCTAAATTAGAAATTCTGATGTTCTCATTTCTAAAATAAGAATCCTTTAAGAAAACCAGGGCAAAAGCTACACTGCGATGTGACTGCACAGGGCTGGTGTTAATGTCTAAGGATTATGGTCACAAAGCTCTTCTTACCTGAAATTTACAAACTCTAGCCTTCAACTTGGAATACAGTCTGCACGTAGAATTGCAATTGCAGATTTCTTTAAGCAGGAACATACCTTGGTGGTAAGTGTTTGCAAGACTCTATTTGACCTTATGCTAACTGTCTGATCATTTTGTATTTCAAGAGTAAATGACATTACTGAAATTGTTGTACGAGTCATTTAGCTTGTATGGGCACAAAAAGACCATTTTCCAGGACAACTATAACACTGCACTTCATATCTGTGGTTTTCACAAAGAACTCGCCAGCATCCCATGAATTTCTGTGAATACCATTTCTCATGTTTGTAAATTCTACTTCTTCATATAGGAGGATTGAATCCACTACAGCGCTTACTATTCAATAAACACTGAGCGTGCCCTACTCAAGGCACTGCCAGGAAGTATCTCCTACCGCTGGGGCATTGTTGGAGCCTCTTATCAACGGCTCATGGTGGTCTGTACCGTGTTCCAATCTGACTTACAAGCGAAGTTCATCATCTGAGTAGTTTCTTTGCCACTTTTCTTAGTACTTAGTTCCAACACAGCAGAAGAAATGAAAGTTAAGAGACTTGTATTTGAGAAGGCTACTAGGGATGAGACCAGGCAGTGGACTAGTCTAACAGATCAGGAAAGGAAGAAAAATCAAACCGGGACAATTGAGCACCTTGATTTACATTTTAAATGACAGCGTTTTCTACTTGCATAGGAATCTAGAAATGTGTGTGCCTTATGAACAAAAATTACAGATCGGTCTACATGCTGGTGCTGGATTAAAGGAAATGAACTGAAAAATAACCTCTAGGGTCGATGGGACAGTTTTCTGGAACATGATTTGACGAGAGGTAACCACAGAGCCCGCAGAATCTCCTTCCTGCATTTTCTTTATCAGACTCGGCTAGTGGGAAAACCAATAAAAGTTCAGAACTTTCAAAATCAGTCAAGGTCATCTAAGTTAGTTACCACTCTATGGGTAGAGCAGAGAGTAAAAAGTCCAATAATATTATTGGAAAGCATCATCATAATGCTTCCATGACCACACACAGCTACAGTCACTGAGAAGCAAGGGTGTAAGGTACTGATGGCTAACCGATAACCAAAATAGTAAGAAAATTCCCTTCCCCTCCCCAGAATCTAAGCAAAAATGACATACCTACCTTAGTTTTAAGCGAGGTAGATTTAAAAAGGAAAATAAAAACTAAAGACATTTCAATGACACTGAAAGCTGAAGAGCAATTCCCTTCTGGGAAATTCCTTTATGTTTGTTTTTTACCTGAGACTCAAGGAATGGAGAGCTTCCTTGCTGCAAAAATATAACTTTTTCAGAAATTTCTCTTTCTTCTTTGGTCTGTTTGAATAAAGGGGGTTGGGTTGGAGAAGAAGAAGTAGACAGTTTCCAAAAAAAGGTAAGTTAGGAAGAGAGTTCTTTTACTGTGTTGTACATATAATAGTCATTCATCTCTTTCTGAAGAAGTGAATTATTGCTTATGAATTTGAAAAGTGGTCTGAAACCATCTCAAAGTTTCATGATCATGTCCCCAAAGTAACAGATTATTTTCTGAAGCTCCAGTGTTTGACTCACACGTTTTCTACTTCTATAAACACAAAACATGCAAGAGCCAAAGAAAGATCTCCTTGGCATTCACAGTGTCTAGGCCAGTCATGTGCAAAACTGTGGAAGTGAGGAGTAAAAGAAAATGTGAAGATTAAAAAAAAAAAATTAAGTGAGGAAAAAAATCCTCACTCCTACATCTGACAAACTCTTGACTGCATTCCCCACTGAAGTGCTGGCTTCATCCCGGGCAAGGAAATACACACGGGCCACCGCCATCAGCTACTAGCTCAAGTAAACCCAGTCAGACCTAGATTGATTCCTTTATTATCCCACAGAAAACAAAGTATACTCAAAATTTATAGCTTTATTTGAACTTTCATAAGGTGGTGAATAACTTTAAAAAAGTCAATTTCAAAATATCTTCGTGAAAAATTAAGTACTTTAAGTCACGCTTTAACATGTAACATTAAGAAACGCTGAGGTAAATATGCCATGTTAGCAACTAGCTTCTTCCTTTTACCTACTTTCTAGTCCTTCCTTTAGTATTGAGTAGGAATAATTCAAGTGGCAATATACTAGCCACTGAGCCAATCTCTGTGCATAGCGTATAGATAGCTCCATGGAGTACTGACAGAAAGGGCATTCAGGAAGAGTAATCTAAAAAATCGTAACAGCCCAAAGTTTCTAAAAGGACAGAGTTTTTAAAATAAATCCTATTGTAAACAACACAATTTAATGAGATTTACTATTCCTATATGTGTACAAACCTATCAGTACTACTTTTAATAGTTTGCCTATAAGAGTTTGTAAGGGGACATCTGGAATATTCTCCTGAAGGACCTGCTGGCAAATTTTGATAGCATCGTTTTCCTATGCCCCTTTTTCAATGAAGAACAAGTAAGATATTTCTGAAGGGGAAAAAAAAAATCAGCCCTATCCCTCCCCATTTTGGAGAAATGTATTGGAAAAGACAAAATGTAACATGTATAATCATTAAATATGGATTTTTGTTTTGTTTGTTTTACTTTCAATTGTAGCCTCTTTTTCAGAGAGAAATAAGAAACAGGAAGGAAAGGTCAAAATTATAGGTACTTTTCAGAATACTACTGCCAGGCCTCTAATTATAATCAATGAGCTAAATATTATTCCTAAGATGAAAGCTTAAAAAAAATAATAGCAGGAAAACAGTGGTTTTTAGCATATCCGGTTATCTGACATCAACTAATTTCAAAATTGTCTTTGTCTATAATGAAAGTATCAACACAGTCTGCATTCTGAACTGTGTGTGTCTGCTGAGAGAAAAGGGTAACATAAGGGATAGGTCTCAAAATAAAATCCTATAGATGGTCAACCTCAATTCAGTTATTTCAGCTAAAGACAAGTGAAAAGATGCTGATAAAGAAAGAAAAGCTGATAATCGAAATGTTCACTTTTATCATGGGTTAGAAGAGAGTCAGCTGTATACTCCAAACATTTTTAGTTACTTAGACATTCATCACTATATCATAATTGGGAGACAAGGCCCTTGTACTGGCATGCAAAATGTACAGAGGTACTACTCACTCTCAGGGGATCAGGGATTTGTGCAGAGCCATGGCCCTTGTTCTCCCTGGGCCAGGGTGTTCTCAAACTGGGCTGTGCATTAGAATTGCGTGGAGATCTTTTAAAATAATAGTACTACGTGGGGGTGCAGCTCAGACGAATGAAATCAGTCTCTGATTTAATAGATCCTAGGCCCAGTATTTTTAAGACCTCCCATAGGTAATTTTAATATGTACCTAGAGTTGCATGCATCCCAAGGCCTGGATGGAAAGTCAAAGAAGTCAGATTTGGAGAATGAAGATAACTCTCCCTATCCACAAAGAGATGATCATAGTGAATGGTTTTTCTCCCCCCACCCAATTTGAGACCCATACAAAACCTGACTAGCAAGAGTAGAACTGGAGTAGAAAGCAGACATATGCACAAAGAGAGTCGATCCCACTTATTCATGGTAATTATGTTCAATAAAATCCCCATGAACAGTGAGTTAGTGAATACTGAACCATTGATTTTATGGGAAACACATGGTTAAGGCTCCTGTGAGTCTCTGGTCATGATACTGTCATCAACTGTTCAATACATAACCTTGTTTTGTATGTGTTTTTGTTTAAAGACTCCTTATTTAATACGTATTATTGATCCGTTAACATTGAACTCATGTCCAACAGCACTCTAACTTATTCCTGAATGAGACTTCTTTAACACATATATTTTCCCAAAAGGCAAGTGACAGCCTTCTTGTGCTTAGGAACACTAGCTCGCACTTCAGGGCTATGTCTGGGGGTCATCTGAAGTGGCAAAATCACCCAGGGAAACACAAAAACATGGCACTAAATAGGCCTGAAGAGCACATTTAACAGTATGGGAACTGAAACAGGAAGGCAGGGCCCTGCCTTGTGCAACCAAAGCTGGGAACATGTGTGGTTGAGATGCAAAGTTGTCACCACTCTGTGTCTGTCTGCAGATGACTGGGAAAGTGCCATTAAGGCTGATTTTAGGGTTACAATGAATTCCAGTGAGTAGGCTAATGTGCAACTATGGAATCTGTGAATCGGGAGGATCACCCGTGCTAAGCTTACGTGCCATAAGACTACCACCTGCATTGACAAACAGGCTGATATTGGCACTGCCAAAGCGCTAATGGGTACTGCCTTTTGGTTGGGGTTTGGAAACTTTTAGTATTCAAGTGACCACAAGGGCATATAACTCTAGCATGGACTCAGTGTAGGAGCATCACCAAAGGCTGTCATGGGAAATATCTGTGGACAGAGACATACCCGGAGGCCTTCACGGACCATACATCTATGCTTCCTGTTTGGTGGGCCCTGTATATGGGCTTGTCTATGTTCCAAAGTGTGCAGTGCTTTGGGGCCTCCTTACTACTTATCTGCTATTAACTCAGTATTTGAAAGTTGAAACCACTGGCAATAAAATTCCCATTTTATAGTAAACATACACGATAGTCTTAGAATATAATCACCACTACTAGCTCACTATATATTACTCAAGTCATCTGAATGAAACAGATATGTAATGGTACAGGAATGCTTTGGCAACAGTACTTTTCATCTATTCTGCATAAAAGGGCCCTTTTCAAAGTAATTCAAATGGATTCATACCTTGTCATGTTTCAGCCGGGATTGGAATTATCATGAATATAGTGATTTGTGGTCACTTTTGATAAATAGCTTTCAAGGGAAGTTTAGAAAATGATCAAAATGAGTGTCATTATATTCTTCTTTTCACTGCAAGGACCTAAACTTTGCATATAGACTACCATTTAAAAGGTTTTTCTCCCATAGAGGCCTAAGTTTTGATTTCTTTCTGTTCTATCTCAGCTTTCTGGACAAATATGTTACAAGAAGAGTCTTGATAAGAAAGAAGTTAATCAGTATAATGCTAGAAAGATGCAGTTATTAAAAAACTACTTCTTTTGAAAGACAGATAAAGCAAGATGGTGTCTAACAGCTGACAGTCAGATGAGCACCACTGATATTTGTGGGTCCCACAGTGGGAGCCCCAAAGTAGGATCCGCTGAATCCTCACAGTCTGGCTGTACATTTAAAGAGAGCTTTCCAATATGGAACACTCTTACTTAAAAAGACATTCTGGCCTCTACGTTCTCTATTAAAAACCAAATAAAAACTGATTATAAATCAGTTAAAATAATCAGTTATGTATATTTTTAAAAATCAGTTAAAATCGAATCAAACACAAATTATACTGGCAAAAGCCTGGTGTAGTATTCCCAGAGTAAAACACCTCTTGAGATTCTGTCAACTTCAGATCAGTGTTGAGTCAAACATTAGACAATCTCCCTATGCCTCATCTTGCAACTGATTAGAAACACTCATGAGTTTTCAGGGTACTTCTTAATGCAGCGGAAAAAGCATTTTTCAGAAAAAGTGTCAGTTCATTAAGACAGTATCTCAATTTCTCCCAGCTGTGAAATCTAGGTTCGCAGTTAGAACAAACCAATTTGCATGCACTAGAGTTTCCCTGGGCCTCCTTGTTCATTCCCAAGCACCCTGGGATGTGACTACTCACTCCTCAGCCGCCACATCATTTTACTTTGCAGCTTTTCTTTGGAGCCCAGAGTAGGTCAGTTCCGTTTTTACACAGACAAGTGGCGAGACTGCCTACTCAGAAGCTTGCAAATAAGCACCACCAGTGAGCAGAAGACAATGACAACCCAAAGCCCAAATACCGACCTCTTCGGGGACGAGCGGCTCGATCATAGGTGCATCCTCCTGCCGGGTGGCTAGTCGCACTGGGGAGGTAGAAAGCCTCTTTTCCCATTCATTCGTGATGGCAGTGTCTGTGGAGGTTTCTAAAAAGGTTCTTTTCAGCTCACTAATATTGGTTTGATGTTTCATCAGGTCATCTTGAGTTTTATCTAGCTCCTATATTCAGAACATAAAGAATCCAGCAGTCAACATTTTACATTTGCCTTCCTATTTGTGTTTTTTTTTTTTTTTTAAAGTAATGTCAATCTCATTAGTAGTCAAAATAAAAGAATTCTGATCAGGGCTCATAACACAACCACAAGCATTTTGGTGAAAATGTGACATTTCTAAGGAAAAGAGAAGAAAAAAAAATCTAGTTCACGCAAGCATAAAAATCAAGAGAGTTCTTAAAGGCAAACTATAAAGAGTTAATTCACATGTAACCAGAAAAAAATGAAAATAAATACACACAGGAAAAAGGATCTATATCTAGGAGAGAGGGAGGAACCAGAGTAGGCTGAGAAGGTATCCCCACTTATTCACAGGTGAGAGCACACAGTTCATGCAACATTGTATGAGCCCACAGAGATGCCGACACACACAAACATGCACTGGTATATACCAATACCAACCTCTAACATAAGATTACTATGTTTGACATACACATTTTCACCCTTTATTCGCTTAATCAGACTATTCTGAAAAAAGTGGAGAAGAAAGGGAAAGGTAAGGGACACGGTAGTCACAGGAACAAATGCCATCCTCCACACTGCACCGACAACATGGGTAACCGCCTACAGAGCATGCTGGAGGGCTGGAACACCGGAGACGCACAATGCTTATCACACGCTGGGTTTTGCTTTTGCTTTATTTTTAATTTTCTACCTGTGCCTTGAGCTCTGCATCTTCCTCCTGGTCCGACTGCCAGCATCAAGAAAGAGTGGGAAATAAAGTCTCACCACGTAATTGACTCTATGACTGAAAAACTATGGTCTATAGAAACTTGCTAAAAGGGGGCACTGGTTTGCTCTTGTATATGGATGCTATTTCTTTCCTATATGCAAGCCACAACACTCTCACGCGCAAATTACGATGCTTATTAAGACAGGAGTAAAAGATTCCTTGCTCGGTGGGTCTTTGACACTTTAACCTGGGGACTTCTGAGTGTGATGAGCACACACACATAAGTGGGAGGTGACAGCTAGGGGCTTGGTAGGCTGACCTTAATGCACAGTAGAAATGGTTCAGGAAGTGTGGGGACCCACACTAAAACTAAAATTCACAAGAATGGTTAGGATTATCCAATAATGAGAGCTCCCTTGGAATCTATGAATCTTCATAATCCTATGAGGTTATAGCTATTATTATCCCCAACTTGTAGGCCAGAGAACCAAGGCTCAAAGAATTTAACACAGAGCGTCCCACATTTAAGAATTTCTTGGAACCATGAATTTCTTGAACCCATATACGTAAAAATAAATGAACTTGGGAAGGGAGGAAGCGGATATGTTAAGAAAGTTAAAAAGAAAAAAAAAAAAAGGAATCAACTACCATCAACATTACCAGCATTTCTTTGAAATGTGAACAGGATCATTGTTGAGTTTTTAAAAAATTCAACAGATTTATAAAAGCCACTTCATTATCCCGATTTTTCTTTTCTTTTTTTTTTTAAGATTTTATTTATTTATTTGACAGAGAGAGACACAGCGAGAGAGGGAACACAAGCAGGGGGAGTGGGAGAGGGAGAAGCAGGCTTCCCACTGAGCAGGGAGCCCGATGCGGGGCTCGATCCCAGGACCCTGGGGTCATGACCTGAGCCAAAGGCAGATGCTTAACAACTGAGCCCCCCAGGCGCCCCGTCCTGATTTTTCTAATTGCAAGGATCTGTTTGGTCCTTGGACTGTTGTCCAGGTACCAGAAACGAGGTAACTAGGCCAAGCCACATGTGCAGGCAGTAGTAAAGCTGTATGTCTCGCTGGTGGTACTCGGACCCAGGTCCACAGGAAGCCCACAGTGTAATTACAGGTAAGAAGAGGAAGACACCTGAGCAGGTGGCCTGCAACACATCAGTCTATCTTGCTCTCAGCCTCCTTATATGCCCATGGGGCAAGACTGCCTACCTAGCACGCCTCACCCAGCACTACTATTGTCCTGGCTCCCGAGAGGAGATAAGGGAAAGTGTTTAAAAAGTGTGGGAGGGCACAGGTAACTCTAACACAGTGCTGGCAACACACTAATGCTTAAGTGTGTGGGGCATTCACAGCTCTTTGTTTTATTTTTAAGCTTTACAGTAACTTATGTTGCATGTATATGTTTGCAGGCTTCAAATGTTATGTAACAACATTTAGAACTGCTATAGAAATTTAGAGTATTATTAAAATATTTTTCATTTATGGCACACATTAAGATTCCAAGGAAGTTTACTGAATTAACATGTAGCTACATGTAACTAAGAATTCTTATAAAATCAAGATGTAATTTTGTTATAATTTGACACAGAAAATTATTAATTTGTAATAAATTTATATGTGATCGCCTAAAAGAATCTGGATAATTGCTGTTTTACAATATTATTTTTTTAAATTTCTTTTTAAGTAGGCTCTACGTGCCCAATGCGGGACTTGAACTCATGACCCCCAAGATCAAGAGTCAGAGTGGCATGCTCTACTGACTGAGCCAGTCAGGTGCCCCATAATAATAATAATAATAACAACAACAATAACAACATTATTATTATTATACTTTTCAATGCCAGTGCCGTTATTTTTAACTTTAAAAAATTATGATTTCCAAACTTTGAGATGAACTCTGGCATTTCCCAAGGATGAAAACTCCATTTAAAAAGGTTTTTCTGAAGATATTTTCAATTAAGTATTATACAGATACTATTTACATTTTTAGTTCTTCCTGAAAGTCCTACTAGAAAAGACTGTTCTAACTGGATGATGTAAAAAACAACTCCACAAAGTAAAAAGTAAATTCTGTGAGCACTTCAGGAAAGGAATATCTTGGCTTCCATTACTACAGTTTTTACAGAAATTTTAGTTATTTGTAGAGAAGCTTCGAAAAACAACATAAGCACACACGTTTATTTACCCTAAAGAATTTAAAAAGGATAAATGATAGCATAGTATGTTTCCTATCACTGTTCAATGTGATCACTTTTTTCTTTTTTTGGAATAGAGTACTAACAGTAATTTGCTAATTTTTTCTTCCTTAGAGAATCCATTTCTTTTGAGTGACCTAGGTTATATCCATCTTGTCTACAAAAATAAGAGAATTATTTTAATAATTATTATTTGACCATTTGGGATTTAAAAATATATCTGTATCTAGTAAATAAGCTAATTAAATTAATTGTGACCCTCCTCACTCATGGCTATCACACACAAACAGCCTCTCATTTGGGAAAGGGGAATATATATATATATATATATATATATATATTTTTTTTTTTTAAGTATTATTGGTTTAGCCAAAGGTTCTCAAAATGTGATCCTAAAATGGCAGAGTCAACATCCCTGGGAACTTGTTAGAAAGGCAAATTCTGGAGTCCCACCCTAGACCTTCTTTTGCACAAGAAACATGAGAAGGGGACCCTGCCAGAGGATTCTGATGCAGGCCAGAGTTTGAGAACCACTGGCTTAGGCAATAGAATATATTTACTTCCTCCTTTCAAAGTAAGAATTTCTCTCCACTCTATAAAAGCTAGTATGCAAAGGTCCTAAAGGCAGAGCCCCGTTCATGAGGCACTTGTGCTGGGCAGCCACCAGCCGCCCTCCCGCAGTGATGGTACCAACCTCAGTGGCCGTGGTCTCCCCGTCTGCTGCCGTGTCCGTGCGTTCACTGTCGGTCTATTGATCACAGAAGTGACCAGGGTCCGGGAGGAAGGCAGGAATAGAAAACAAACCCGTTTGGTCAAATAGGGCATGGCACAGGTCCAACAGCTCGCTCTCTTTCTCTGTGATCTGATTCATACTACCTTCCCACAAGAATGCAGGTTCAAGCAAAAGCCAAAGAAAGGCCAGAGCCAGGCTTCATCAGCAGAGCCACTCGGAGGAAGACCAGAGGCACACAGCCCGCGGGAACCGCAGGGGCTGCATTAGCCAAGCTGACCTGTCTGGTTTCATGTCTCAGGAAAACCAAATTGTCCTTCTCCCCCCCGCTTTTTAACTAAAACCCCGAGAAAGATCTCTTAGGAATGTTCAATGCCAATAAAATTGATGTTTATATATGTTTGCTATTCTACTGATATGTCACATTTGAAAGGTAAATTAAAATGTAAATTTAAATAAAAAGCTACTCTAACAGTCACTGGACTTTCAGCCTCTCATTTATATCACGTTGATAATTTACACCCATTTATGACCATTAGGCTGTCTGCATTACCTATTACTTATAAAAAGCACATGCCAGTGACTCACAGGCATATGTTTTATATGTGAAAAATGTAACTCAGTTTTCAAGTAGCAGTGTTACCTAGATTTTTTTTAGACTAACTGTTATTTTGCCCCACCCTCCAAGATAAAGAAGTATATCAAAGTAGGTATTTAAACATCTCTTTCCAAAACAACCATTCAAATGAAGCAAATTATAATAATAAAAAAATGAAGAGAGAAAGAGAGACATCTACTTGTAAACAAATAAAACAAAGCACAGCATTTGACAGAGCCTAAGTTTTTAAGGGAGAATTATAATAGTAATTTCAGGACTGGGATTTAAGCGGTTTCATAGAGGTTTATGGTTTAAAACAGAAACTATTTTCTTTGGAGTACAACAGAACCACAGCCATTGAAGATGGGACATTTAAATGCCGTAATATATTATTAACTCAATTTCCCTCCACAAATGTCAACTAATCACTAATAAAATTCCCTTGAGCAAAGATACGCGATTAATATTTTGAAAACAAAAATAAAAACTGGGAGCCATAAGTCTGCGAACCTGACTCTTCAAATTATCTCTCAATCCTAACAACAAGGAATTTCAAGAAGGGCGACTGGGACAGGGATGTGCATATCAACCTTACTCCGGCTAGGCGGATTTCTTGGCACCATCCCAAATTTCCATTTTATATATGCCTAAAAGAAAATACATTAAAATTCATGTTTGGCATGTGTGCCTGAGGTGGCCAGCTACCATGCCTAAGTAGAACATAATTTTCAGTAGTTTGGTAAAGAATGTGTGCTGACACATTTTCATGACCTGACCACCTTGGCAACACTCAGCGGGGGGAGGGGTGGCTATTAATTTTCTTATGAGGGTGATCATTGCTATGGTGTTAGCATGGCTTCCCCAACTGACAGCCTAGGGAATGGCCAATTTGACATAAGGCGAGAGAGACAGGTTATTGTTCAAGTGTATAATAACCCAAAGTAACCTTAGGCTTTCAAGAATAAATAGGAATGACTGGTGGTGCTTGGTGTGCTAACTCATTTTGTGAAACACTTCCAAGGTGCTTGAAAGTATTTCTCTTCTTACATAATCTCCCTTACAGCTTTAAAATCTACTAAAGCATCTTGGCTTTAGATTATAGTCCTGGTTAAGAGTGAGGGCTCTGATGTCAGACTGACATGAGCTCAAACCCTTGCTATTGAAATCTGTGAGACACTGGACATGTTTCATGTTTTAATCCCCATTTCCTTCCAGCAAAATGGAGAAAAAAATAACAGCCCTGACTGTATCAGGTAATGGACACTAAGTGCTTTCTATAAGGCCTGACACATGCAGACTAAAAGTGCATGTAATAACTGTCTTATGTTGATGTTAATATATTAGTATCACATTATAATATTACAAAATTACTACTACCATTTTTTCTAGCTATATGAAAAAATAGCTTAGGCCTTAAATTCTTACTGAGCATGTAGTCAGTTATTCTACAAATATAGTGCATGATCAATAATGAATGAAGAAAGGCTGAATAAAGTAGCTTTTATAGCACAAGCAGCTTTTATATATTATTTATATAATATACTACAACTAAACAAAACTATGAAATGTATAACAGGTCACAAACTATCATATGATTCTACGTCTACACAACTTAAAATTTTAAAAATCGGTTGATTTTGCTTCCAAATTTGAATCTTTTTCGTATTATGAAAAAATTCCTCACAAATTGACACACAAATACATTCTATGGTATGGTGAGCTAAGTTCAGCTTACGTTTCTTGACAGATGATTTAATATTCTGTGCCCCTTCTTATGTGACCATTCTTGAAGGTACAAAAGAAAAAAACATGATTGGTCAACAGCTTTAAAGTCTGAAATGATTCTGCCTTTCCACCCTGGGTTTCACTCTTGAGAAAGGCTGGAACTAATTAAACCACTCCAACACGTGAGAAATGTAAGCATCGATGACAAAATATTTGAAAAGAATTACATTCATAGTGATTTAATGATTTTGGAAAACAAACGTGACAGAGCTGAACCTTATGTTACATGAAGTCACCCTGTTTAGCTGCCAAAGTGCTTGAAGCCTAGAGAATAAAACAGGCCATGTCAACAAATGGTTTTTTTTTTTTTTTTTTTTCTTAATGAAATGACCTGCATAGGAGTCCTCCAGCTCAGCCTGAACTAGAGAGGATAGCTCTTAACAGTTGGGGTTAAGAGATGACATTGAACAGATGGCCATACGCGAAGTCTCGTGTTAGGAGAGCCGTCATGGGCGACCGGGGCTGGACAGGAGGGCTAAGACCGCAGTGGCCAGAGCTGGCTCACGGTCTCAGAGGTTTGCAATAACAGGGAGACTTATCGGCTGGGAAGCTCCAGTCACGTGGTCACCGGCTTGCATCGGGTAACTGCTGTGATTTGTTTTGCTGATGTAATGCAGACATGCCCAAATTTAACATTAATTTTCATGCACTGGTTACAACAAGATGTATACCCTGGATTAGGCACAAGATCTGTGTGGTTTGCTACAGAAAAGTTCAGTTACTTAGAATTCAGAAAAGCAGAAAATGGCAATCTTTTTGCTTTATGTTAGCTGGATGACTAACTCCATTGCTAAAGGAAAAATAGATGTCCAGGTTGGAAACCGGCTAATGTTATGGTCTTTGTAGATAATCTTGTGGTCTTCATGTTGTACGTTCTAGTCCTAGGTATTCTGATCATATTGCCACTGTGAGAAATGGTGATATTAAAGCCTAGGATTCATTCTCTTAAAATATTTTCCATGTATGGAAATAGTTTTATATTAGATAAATAAAGTCATATGGACTTTGGAGCTAAGTCATATGGCTCAAGAACCATGCAAAAGGCTCTTATGCAATATCAAATTGAAAAGGGCAAATTTTTATTTAAAACATCTGAGCCCATTCCCATTTTTTTCCTTCTGCTGCTAAGAAATGGTCATAATATCACTAAATACACTTATACACCCTCACAACTCTATATACCCACAGGTGCAGCTCAAATTATGATTTCTGACTGAGCTGAAAACTGAATAGACTTTTCCCTTTTTTTTTTTTAGTGTTGCTTTGACTTTGTGACTTTTTTTTTTTTTTTTAATGCTTGGAGTACTGGGCTTGTCTCCTGCCACAAAAAGCCTTGATTTGTGAGAACAGAAGAGCTGGAGGGGCCTGGGGAGGGTGTGGGCAGGAGGGTGGGTGACGGCCAGGCCCTCTGTTGGCAGCTTCTTTTTCCCCTGCGATGTGTTTGAAGGGAACTGCTGGGCTGTTCACACATCTGGAGAGTGGTGTGAAAGGAGAGCAGTGAAGAGGAAAAGCTACTGGGCTACCATGTCCATCACCCACTGGCTCAGATGAGGGACAGGAGACGGACAGGTGGCATGTCTTCTCAGACAGAGGCTGAAGGCCCCAATCCTTTCCCCACGGAGCACATGCCTGGCTGAGAGCCGCAGGGGCCTACCCAGCTCCCCTGACCTTTCCAGACTAGCCACATGTGCGTGGATTTTTTGGCTCATGCTGGAGTTGAAAGGATCACTGCCATCCAATATATGCGTTGGCACTCTGAGGACTGATGAACTTTCAGCCCCTTTTTACAGCATGAAGACATCTTCAAGGAATCTTTTCCCGACAGCGTTTGAAAATTGCAGTTACTTTGGTCCTCTCTGAGGCCCTTCCAACGACTGAGGTCACATGGGTCTTTTCATCTACTCAAGCGTTTTTTCTGACCCAACACAGCCTTGGGATCTGGCTCGCCTCTGTGAGTAGCAAAGGCAGTTTGGGGATATTTTGGAATCTCCAGGGAGGAGAGGCATCAATATAGTTGAGGGAAAGCTACCCAGCTGATGACGACCCACCTCCTCTGGCCGTTCATTCCCACCTTGCCATGAGGGTCGTTTATCCACTGGTATCACCGCTGTGTACGTACCATGATGCCAGAAGGCGTATGGGGAACACCCCATCAATCCGGCTCAAACTTATTTCTCGGTCTTATAGGTCCCTTCCTTTATGAACCAGTAACTGGCCAGAACCTTTAACCTAACCCTGATTTTTAACACAGCTAATGGGTTCTTTAAAATGGATTTCTGAGTCCTTCATCATGGTAGAGTTCAGTGGGCGGCCGAACGATTCTGAGCTGGGCGCAGCCTGCTCCATCCACATGGTGTTGTGCCTAACCCGGGGGCCGCGGGGGGGGAACTCCCCGACACACAGAAACCTCTCACATGTCGGCACAGACAATAAATGAGGCTCTGAAAGTAGGACCACTATGGCAGTAGGCGCCTAACACTGTTTCGGACCGAAGCCCCGACCACGACAGGGAAGTGTGCTCTATGCCGAGGTACACACCTCTTCCTCTGAACTGTCACTCGGGTCATTGTCTAGTGAGGCACTCAAGGAGGCCGCCTTGGGCTCCAGGTAGCAGAGGCACATAGCCAGAGGGAAGGAGAGAGTGAGGGCATATGGCACTGAGAAGGAGGCGGAGAGCAGAAAGAAAAAGATGAAGAGGAAACAGGGCACAAGGGAGGGTGAGCGAATTGGGAGGTAATGCTGCAGGCTCTGGGGGAGGAGGTTGGTTTCCGACAGGTTGGGGAAAGAGAGGTACCCATCGTCATCGAGAAGAGAAGGGAATGACTCCGGGAGCTGCAAGGAGAAGGAAAACAGGGTGGTCCCTTTGCCAGTTTGCTGTTTGTAGCTAAAAGCCACATCCTGGTCCCCTAAGGATGGCTTCCCTTTGTGGTCAGAGTCCACGGTGGGCTCTCCGCGCGCACGCGTGGTGCCTCTGGCCGGCTCCAAGCCTGGGGCTTGGTGCTCATTCTCCTTACACCTCCTACGGAGTTCTGGGGGGGAGGCGGGGGGACGATGGGCTGATGGGGGGGACAGGGGACATGAGTCAGTGCCAAGCCCAGGTGACTGATGTGGAAGAGACAGAGAGAGACAGAAAGCAGCAAACAGAGGTGCAAAAGGACAAAAAGAAAACTGCAATTAGTTAATTTTCTTACGGGTATCAATATAAAATTGTAAAACAAGAATTTTAGCACTAGGGTTGTTCACACTTAAAGTATTCAAGCTGCATGCCAACACTGCCATGAATGGCTACCGGTTTCCCATTAGACTGTCAAATACAGAGTGGGCTTTTTTATAAAGTCAGAACAGAAGATATCAGTGGGCAATCTCAACGTCTACATGTTTCACACCATCCAAAAAGTTTGTTTAGACCAATAACTCTAGAAAGTTGTAGGGTTTTGAGAGCAAATAGGACTCTCTGAGAACTTAAAATCAAGACTTTCAATAACGTCTCCTGATCTCCAGCTAACAGATCTGTTACTATAGTTTGGTTGGATTAAAAGAATAAAAGTGAATCCAAATTTTGATTATTAAAAAAAATTTTAGCATTATCTTTCCACACTTAGTCAATTATATCCAAAACAGGTGGGTTTCCAAATCAAGAAGTTTCTGGCCCCACTCCCATCTGATAAGCACTGCCACTCAGGGAAGTCAGCAATTTAGCATTTTAGGAACTCACCCTCCCCCAAAAATTGAGGTTCCTTCGAAAACGTCTACTTTGGCTCCTTTCTCCATGATGTAAACGTAACTTAAACTCAAATAAGGATTTCAACAAGCTAACTAGCATAAAGAATGTGCCTTCTTGTGATATGGCTCATAAGCATTTAGTTTGTATTATTTGTGGTCCATAAATAATAGAAAGGGACAATCTCCCAGCCTTCTGGTTTTTCTGAGCAAGTAATCGCCATATTTAACTCCCTTGGTTTGAATCCTTCACAGAATGATAAAGGCAGGCCTCGCCACAAAGGTGGTCCCTGTGAGTTCAGGCTTCTGGAGGGAGACAGAGGCTCCTTCCATTCTCTGGGGTCCTGACAGCCTCTCTGACCCCAGCCAGTTTGCTCTGCAGGGGGTGGAGGGATGCTGAGCACAAGCGGAAGCAGGGCAGCCTGCAAGCTCCAAACAAGCCCTGGCACAGCTCAGAAGCTGCTGCAGCCCCAGGAGTTCAATTCAAGGTCACACAGAGCCTGAAGATAAGACTTCTGCCGCTCTCTGGGACTCTCTGCGTGTGTGAGTACGTGTGTGTGTGTGTGTGTTTGCACGCGCGCACACATACACGTGTGTTTTGCCTAGCGACTTGCTAGCATGGAAATTACCCACACCCTGCTTTGTAGACCCCAATCCCGACTTGGTAAATATAAAGACAGAGGGTTAGAACATGCACAGGTAAAGCTGTATCATGGATATTCTAGAATTTAGAAGTGTCTCTTTTTAGGTCTTAGACAAATACGTCTCTTTTCAATACTCGCATCTGACATTAAGCGTTGTGTTTTAAACATGACCCTACGCACATCTCATTCAATGGAGAATAATATAAAAGTTACAAGCTGACTTCTGCATGCAGACTATTGTCCCCTGGTGGTGGACGGCTGCCCAGTCACCTGGGGTGATCATTAGCCTGGGAAACAGGCCTCTTCTCAAAGGAATCTGGGGGACCAGTCTTTTAAGACCTATTTTCAGTGATACACTTTCATTTTGGTTAAAAGATGAGTACCCTCTTTGTTACTTTTTGAAGATGGAGAAGAATAAAATGAAGGTTTAATTTTCCATGCTGCTTATTCAAGTGGCTTTTAAAAGACAGCTGTGCACTGTGGAAAACGAAGACAGCCATCGACCTGCCTGAGCACTAGGTCTGGGCCACAGCCCTTCTGAGGGCATGCGAGTCAAAGTGCTGGCTTCTCAGAGATTCGGACAATGAGAGTCATAGTTTTTTATCTTTTTATTTTCCCAAGCCATAAGTGGCAAAAGTGATATGGTTTAGTGCTGTATTTTATATAAATGGTTGGTTTTTCAAATTAAATAAGGAGAGACTGCCTGGGTGTATTTTTTGAGCACACTAAAGGTCATTTCCTTTATTGTGCCAGTTTAATCGCAGTTACACATCCATTAGAATTGTCGGTTGGCATGGGTGATTTCAGGAAATCGTGGAAATCATTTGCTTTTTGGCAATACTACCACCTTTTCCTTGTGTCCTATTTAAACGTTGCCTTGACTTAATTGGAAAATAAGAGTGTAAAAACGAAATTTAGGACAAAGCACGTTTTCACAGCAAAAATGATCCAAATATCCTTGCTGTCATTTCCTACCCTGTTTTTGTGTTTGGTAAATAAATGATCTTATCCTAAAAAAATGGTGGGTAGGGTTTCATGTGGAATATTCTGATGTAACTACAATATGTTGTGGGTCTACCCTTCACTGTGTAATTCTTACCAAAAGGAGCATTTTTGTTTAGAGTCCCTATATGTGAGTCCCTGCCACATAATCTACATTTAAGAAATAATATAGATAGAAGAACACTTTTGAGTCAAATCTAGGCAAGTTTCAGCATAATCTGTGAGTTATACAACATTTTTATTCTGTTATTTCTTTTTACTCTGTACATTCCAGGAGCAACTCTGTTTTTCCATTATCATCACACACAAACCTCTCAATATAGTTTTGGTTTTTTTTTTTTTTTTAACTTTTAGGGAGATGCTCTGCTACTTGTAATAAAACCCTGAACCAGAAGTAGGCTGTCTACACCTTTTCTGACTTCCATTTTTCTGAAAGGTTGCTTTACAGTACCAGATTACCAAAAATAAACATACTGTAAAATGAATAAATAAATACTGGGATGAGATGAAGTTTAAAAATTTAATGAATAAAACACCTTGGAGAAATGGCTGCTAAATTCACTTTCCATCTTCCCTTGCAATGTTCTGCTTTAATATCTCTTTTCAAAACATGTCTGCTCACTACTTCGATGATTAGAGGGGAAGTAGTGTATAAATACACAGGCTGTGGTCACTCAGTTACTTGCAGTCAGAGGAATGGCAATGTGATTACTGTGTATCTAGAAAAATATACAGTACTTGGGTAGGAGAATGGGGCCAGAAACAAAGAGAATAGTTTTAGTGATAGTTCTGGAATGTGAGCCCAAACAGAAAAGTGTCATGTGGCACTAAATGTATTTTTAAGATCTACAGACAGGACAGCTGTTGAAAGTCTTACATAGCACATCAGTTAAAATAAAAATTTTCAAGTTAAGAAGGAATCTTTCAGAAGAAAAATGTCGACAGAGGAAATCAGAATTTAAAAATTAATAATATGAATGTGACTAATGCTGAAATATGAACTACCCTAAGTCTTTTTTTTTTTTTTTTTTTTTAAGTAGGCTCCACACCCTGAGTGGAGCCCAACGTGGGGCCCGAACTCATGACCCTGGATCAAGACCTGAGCTGAGATCAAGTCAGCCACTTAACTGATTGAGCCACCCAGGCGCCCCGAATTACCCCAAGCCTTAACACATTCCTGGTTTATAGCCTTGGAATGACTAGTTCTTCAAGGTCTAAGCAAGCGCTAGGAGGGAGCCTGGGAGATGTACCTTGCCCTCGTGCCGTGCTGCCGCGACCGGGGTGACTTCTTCCAGTCGTTTTCGCCTGTCCTCTTCTTCGTCCCGTTCCTCCTCGGCCTTTTTCTCCGGAGTCACGGTGGTGATCAAGTTGGTCTGAGAGATGCCCTTTGTTGTGGCGTACTGGCCAGTACCAACCTCTGCAGCAGACACAGAATCCTTCATGTAGATTTCATGGTTTTCATTCACTGACGCTAAAAGCAAATACAATGGAAGAAAAACGTCTGAAATAGTTAAGGCAGAAGGCAGAAGACTACCACCGGTTGTCCCACTATAGAAAAAAGTACCCCTACCCACGTCTGTCCGAAAAGGCCAGTCAGCGCTGCAGGAACCTGCATCTAAGCACTAGCAGAGACTCATCTTTCTGGAGCTTCTAGACCAGTGTTTTAAAATGATTTAAAGGCTCATGGCTTGAAACCACCAGAATAGCTCTCGGGCTCCCCGGTGAGGACGAGTGTGAGGGCAGATGCGGTGGGAGGGTGGGAGGGCGGGATGCTGGCAGCCTGTTACCCTCCAGGGTAACTGGCTGGACGCCAGTACCAAGCACTAGTGGCAGGTCCTGCAACTAACAGCAGCATTTGCCGCAGACAACTGCTCTCACCCACTTGACTCTGAACATATCTTTGGAAGGGCCATTCACCAAGAAGCACTGAATTGGGTTTTTCAATTACGCTTATTAATAATGGTTAAAGAGTCCATCACTCCCACAGTCTTTCTTCGGAAAGATTAGACAATCTGGATGGCGACTCTGTGCAGCTGGAGTGCCGAAATGTTTTAATTTCTACTGCACTTTAAACAGACTACCATGATATGCATAGACTTATTCATCTCTGATATTTTGGGACGATAAGACAAATGTTGCTAATGAAATTCATGCAAATGTAAAGCATGCAAACATAAAAGATATAAGACACAGCCTTTCATCCCAGCTAAAATGTCTTAGTGAAAGATGCTTAATTCAGTTACATTTTTAAAGCCTGGTACTCATTATTTTCGGTTTTAGATACATACAACTCATTTAAACTTATAAATAATGCTTTTCAAATACACAGTAGCTAATCACAGGCAAAACAGCATCAGCTTCATAGTTTAAAGTGTAAATGTTGAAAATATTCCAAAATCCTTTTATATTAGCTAAACTGTTTCACTGAAATATCTTCACTAAGATATTTTTATATTTCCTCATATTGATGAAAAAGCTCCTAGGAGACGCAAGTTCAGAATGAGCCAGTGAGGCTGTTCTGTGTAAGATGCAACCTTGCAAGAAGCAGTTGTGTTCCAACATGCAGCCACAGCACCCAGCTCAGCAGCACAGAAAACATACTAGAATTGGCAGGACCCCAAAGAGTGAGAGACAACACATACTAACATCATTTTTGGGCAGGGAGGAAGAGACAGTATGGTATTAGTACATTTATTTCACAATTGTCTTCCGTCAACACTCATTATCACACAAAAGGTTATGAGGAAAACAACATTCACGACAAATGTGTTCCCTTGGATACACATCACTGAACAAAGTGGATGATGTCCGGGGAAAAAGGTGTGATTCTACAACAGTTCCCCCAACACTGACTTATAGAATACACAGGTTACAGAGATTCTCTAAAGGAGAAAGAAGAATAAATGGAACAAAGCAGTAAGAAAAGCTTCAGTGTTACAGTGAGTTATTTCAGCATCTTGATTCAACCCAAAATGGTCCTAATAAACATTTTATTCCAAAAGTCTGGCTCCGAGTTAGATATTCCAAAAAGAAGCAACTATTGGAAGATACAGAATGGTAATTAAATTCCTAGGCCAGCTCACAAAAGCCTAGAAGAATAATTATGAATGTAATTATTATTACACCTATCAAGAATGCTGTCACACCTGTCTCATTCACTGTTTACAAATGGCTTTACTCCCATTTTAGAGACGATGACTAAAACCAATACCAGGTAAGTGTTTTTTCACTTCACTAGTAACGTACATGGTTCAGCACTAATGATAAAATTTTGACTTCTACACACTGTTTAGAAAGTACTTCATTAGAAAAATACAACCTTCTAAATCAGGGGATTCAGGGAGCACGTCATCCCAGCAGCCACGCTGGGGTACAGTGAAAGGGAAGAGAGAACTGGGACTATGTGAAGTGGTGGCAAAAAAGGTATGGACGAAGGTGATCCCACATATTTGTAACTTTTCATTATTTTTCCTTTATTTTTCTTATTTTTATGTTTTTGATTATTAAAATTGTACACACATGCTAGAAACATCTAATTCCTTTTAAATACACAGGATAGGTCTTTTATAAACCAACTAATCTCCAGGTGCTTGGAATGAGAAAACACAGACTTGGCCATGGCTCACTTTCTAAGTGAAGTGTTGTTGTTATTGGTGTTGTTGTTGTTGTTGTTATCACAGCTGCCATGTGCGTGTAACTACGGACAGCAACACGAAACTGTTGCTTAAGACAGAAACCCACGAGAGACTCACTATTACGTCATTCCTTAGAACTGTTATTTCAGTGACTCTCTCCTTGTTGAACTTATACATTTGACTTAACCGTGGAGAACATTTACATGGCAATGCTCTCCCAGGCCATCTGGGGTAGTAATTAATATAACTATTAATAATAACCATACTATTATTTGAATGTCATCCTTTCTATCGGCTATCATGCATTGACTGGTAACAGTTACATTTTATCCATGAAAATTTTGTAGAAACAGATACATTTAACTTACAGTCCTCCTTCTGAAACAAACTGACTGAAACAAATCCGATAATCATTTCAGATCTGCCAGCAAGTGAACCAAATTACTTACAGAGTATGTGACAACTATATTCAGAATGAGAGCATCTTTCTCCAAATTCAGGGTGCCGGCTTATGAAAGCTATACTCTTCATTCCCTAAGTACCATTCTGTTATGGAATTTTATATAAATCTACAATAACAGATATTAGACTCACAAAGGCACTTTTTTTTTTGAGGGTAGGGGTTAAAAACTTGCCACTCAGCCATAGACCAGGGAGTGCTTTTCATTTCATACTATTCAAGAAGAGCTACGTTTATTGAAAGCTTGTGATGGTTTCACACTATTTCTGGGTAGCCATTGATGATTCTTATTACTAAGGGATCTTACGTAATGCCTACCTCCATCCAAGCTACGAGACATGGTATAACGTTTGCTGGACGAGCGTTCGAAGTAAGGGGCAGGGCGATCTATCAACGCGCTGGCTCTTCTTGTTTGGGCTTGTGTCCTGCCACTATAACGAAACTTGGAGCCCAAGGTCAGGAATTTCTTTGGAGGTGCTTCTGGTAACAACAGTCTAGAGATATTAAGGGAAAAATACCAGAGAGACTCTTAAGTATTAAGAACGTTAACTTTTTTAGTCAAAGGTAAAGAGCTTTGTGTGCTAAAGGTTTAACATGTAACATGTTCAATGAATGTGATTTTATAGGGAAAAAAAATCAATTCCCACAGTACATATCAACCAGGGAGTTGTAGAAAGGCTATAAATACCACATGGGTTGGGACAGACTACATGAACTAAAATTCATCTCACACAACTGAGGAGTCTATGGTTCTATAAGCCCAAAGAGCAGTTAAAGAGGTGACGTTATTTTATAGACACAAATCTGATAAGTCTGAGCACTGTACGTAAGCAAAGGAGTCAAAGGTGTTGAGAAATGACTGAAATAGTGGTGGACATCTTATAAAAATAATGAAAAGACACTAAAGATAATAAAGTGGACATGAGGCATGTAAGCATCAGACAAATTAAGGAAGATCCTTCAGTCAGAAGTTTTTAGGATTTCTTATCAAGAAATCTGGTGACCATGAACTTGAAGGAAAAGGAAGGATATGCTTCCATATTTTTCCCAACAGAGTTTTGCAATATAAGTGATTCCAATCATTCTAATTCTTCCTTGGGAAGAAAAAAAATCATCTTTACCTACCTGAAAAATGTATGATGTTCAACACACACTTTCCATAAACGCTTGGCAGCTCGATGGTTTGGCAGCTTAAACCCAATGGTGCTTTCAAATTGTTCAAACTAAATTAAAAAACAAGCAAACATATTGAAGAGTAAAGTCAAGTTTGCAATTATAAATAACATAAAAGCAAATAATTTACAAAATCATGTCCCCTACAAAAGTTTCCTTTACTCACAAAAACAAGTGCTATATGCAGAATTCATGCTCTACACCTTCATTCATTAAAAAACCACCCTGTATCTGTTCTCCTTAAAATGCTGCAGCCACAGATAACCACATTATGGGTGTAGTAAATGTTTTACGGACAAGTATGGATTTTATAAAAACAAAATGCAAAAAAGGAGGCTATCTGGGTTCCTTCCAGAGACCAATTTGTCCTGATCTCATTTTTAAGCCTTATTTTCATGATGTCTCTGTGACATTGTGATTTCAACTGGAATGTACAGGAATGAGCAAAATGTAGCATTCTCAGGGTGATATTTTCTCCCAGGATCTGGTCAAAGAAGATGTATCTCCTAGGTATTTGGTGACTTGGTATCAGATATTGCTGATTTTGTTTGTGCATTCTACTCTGGATTATCACGTTAGACACTAACATCTTTTGATTTTACATGTATGATCAGAGACTGGGAGAACACAATTTCCTATCTTTCAGCATGTATAGTTCAGATGATAATCTATCAGCCATTTGCTTTCTCAAGGTAAAGTATCTGACTTCCTGAGTAATATATTTTAATATTATTATTGCAAATGTTCGGGATTTTTTTTTTTTTTTTAATTTTCTGAAGACAGTATGCATCAGGCCACCAGAGGGCAACCATTTTAAACAGTAAAAGCTTTCCAAAAGAGCATAAAACAACCAGACTACTGATACAGTCAATAGAAAAAAAAAGTAATTTATGTAGCAAAGAACCCAGGGGAGGGGTTCTATGCATGGCGTATGAGAGATAACTATGCTCGACTTCTACTTCTTATTTGAGTGGGACTAGCAGGGTTGGCCGGGACGGGGGGGGGGGTGCGGAGAATGGGAAATACATCACAAGCTACTCCAACTCTCAACTAACTTTCCCAATTTTGTACTCACTCTGGATGTTCACATGTAGTGGTAGTCATAGCAATTGCTCTTGGCCAGGAGCCCCAGTCAATCAACAAGCCGGAGTATTACGACTATGACTAACCTGTCCTCCATTTCTTCATCCTGCATCTAGTATGTACCACACACTATGCTAAGGCCAAGGGTTTTAAAGAACAATCAACCTGCTCTCTGCTGCAAAAAGCTGGGAATATTTCCTTGCTGCTATCCTTAGACCAAAGATGACAGAGGCTTCTGCACTTTTTGAATATTTATCTATTTCTCCGTGCTTTGTACCAATGTCTTGACCTCTTCAGAGTCTGGTGCCACTGATGATTTTTTTCCTCATTCATTCTTCTCAAGCCTATGTATATGCTTGCAAAAAAAAAAGGGGGGGGGCAAGAAGCCCAACTTTCTTTGAGCCTGCTTCTGCCTGAACCACAACCCCATCTCACTCCTTGACAAATGTCAGGAAGGAGAAGCCATGGCTACTTCATTCCCCACCTCATCGCCACCTGGCAGGTGCTCCTACCACCTGCTTGAACTTTTCAATATCCCAAGGGGTCTGTCAAGTCTGAAGCACTTTTCTTAGTTCTTAGCCCACACGCCTTCCCTGTAACATCTGGCCCTGCTGGTTCACCGTGTACCCAGAGTTTGGTCTCCTTGTCATTCATGACTGTTCTTGCCCCTTTTCTTCTTTCTCTGGAGCTTTTGTTCATCTCCCTGTGTTCCTCTTCTGCCTACCCCTCCCTCAAAAAGGGATGTCACCCAGAATTTCTGTTTTAGGGTCTGTCTTCTTCTCTAACTTGCCTTGTTCTTTGGGTAATTTATTTCATGCCCAAGGCCTTGAATACAATGGATGCAGCTGATGACGCCTTCAAAACTCTATTTACTATGCAAGAATCACCTCATGAAAATATATCTCAAAAGAATTTAATCTTTTTTTTTTTTCCTGAAATTCTCCCTGTTTTCTCCCCTCATCTAGTAATATCACGTCCATCAGCTTCACTCGTGCCAACCAAAGACCTCTGATTATCCTGGACTCCCTTCCTCCATCCCGTGTCCAGCACTTACTGGCTCAGTTTCTGAAACCTCTCTCACGTTTGCTCCTTCTGTTCTGTTCCCATGGCCTCTGCCCTAGTTGAGGTCTTAGCACATCTCATCACTAAGCTGCTGAGTTTCATTCCAAATTATTCGTCTAGTATATCACATCCTCTCTAAAACCTTCCATGGCTCACTATTGTTTCCTGATGCATTTCTCCAACTTTCCCATCCGGGCCCTCACCACAGCATGCTTGCCCCATGTCTGCAGAGTATTATATGTGCAAAATGTATAATGACGACATAATTCTAAGTACATGAGACTGTTTTTTGCTCAACAGAAAGTCCCTTAAGGACAGGAACAAGGTCATATTTATCTTTCTATTTCTAATGCCCACCATGGTGCCTGACAATAAGTAGATGCTCACTTGTAAATGTTTGATGAATCGAATATATATTGGTTATAGGGAATATAAAAAATTAGTTTCAGGTATTTACAGGAAAAGCTTACAGATTATTTCAGCCTCACAGACAAGTTTGATTTTATATTTACATTAAACATGATTCCTTTTTTTAGGGAATATAGAAAATTAGTTTCAGGTATTTACATGAAAAGCTTACAGATTATTTCAGTCTTAGGGACTGAAATTTTAAGGAATATAAAAAATTAGTTTCAGGTATTTACATGAAAAGCTTACAGATTATTTCAGTCTTCACAGACAAGTTTGATTTTATATTTCCATTAACATGATTCCTTACTTTATAGTGTGATTTTTTTAAACTTTTTAAAAATTGAGGTACAACTGACATATAACATTATACTAGTTTCAAAGTGTATGACATAACGATTTGATGTTTATATACATTGTGAAATGATCACACTAAGTCTAACAGCCATCACCACAGATTTTTTCTTGTGATGAGAACTTTTAAGATCTACTCTCTTAGCAGCTTTCAGATGTAATATAGTATTATAACTATAGTCACCATGCTGCACATTACAACCCATATAACCTGATTTTTAAATCACATTTTCCACCAATGGAGAGGCTGATTTTGAAGACAGAAGAGAATTCTGTGCTGTACCAGAAAATGTTCAGAGACACAGATGAGCTGCATGCAACCTTAGAGCTCTGACTGCCTCCATTAGATTAACCATGCTCATTAGAAACTGGATATATTTATTCATCATCTGTTACACAGGTAATAGGAGATATTTACCACCTATTATGTGTAAACCACTATGAAGAATCTAAGATCAGGATGGTTTTGCCTACGGAACAAGGATTAGTCGACAATTTTTATTTTTTTCACCAGTCTTTCTGATTAAAAGAAAAAGGCAGCAATGTACTAGGCTATGAGACATCTGCATAATTTATCCTTGGTGTCTCTTGCTCTAATCTTTCTTGTACTTTGATCACATTATCTCGAAGTTATTCATGCTAGGGTGCCAGCAGATTTGGAAGACAAAAAGGGCATGAGCTCATAAAACAGGGACAGATGGGAAGAAATCTATTCTTTATTCACAAAAAGTTTAGCACCTCAGAGTTTCTTTTATACCATGATTTGAGATCTACGAAACATTTTTCATGTATCTTGATGTTACGCTAAAATCTGCAAACCTAAAAACTTTTCCATCTATGCAGGGGGACAAAATTAGAACCAAACTATTAAAAAGAAGAGAATATTTTAGTTATTGTTGCTTATCAAACAAACCTACAATAAATTCTCTTAGGCACGGACATATGACTCACCATGTCCTATGATGCTCAAACCCTGGGACTAGCAATTGACATTTTTGTTTGCTACCGGGTACCTTTCTTTCCAATGTCCACGCAAACTGGGGGGCTACTTACCTCTCCCGGCCGAATCTTAATGTAAAAGTTGTTCCGTTTGTATGAAATTTTTAGAACCTTGGGCCAGGCAAATCTGTTGATTCTCAGTCGGTCACGATATATCAACAGACCACTCGCACAAACTCCTAACATAATTTCTACTCCTTCAGAATCCTGGAAAATGGCATCGAGAAACAATGGGTCAGTATTTCACTGATTTCCACTTATGGTGAAGTGTGGCATTTAATGCACCACAGTTTTCCGTGAAGGAACTTGTATTTGACTGCCAACAGCTCTAATTTCAATAGGAAAAATACTGCAGCCATTTTTTTTTTAAATGTTGCCCCTAAATAATCGGCTTTTAGTGAAGGTATTTATCACTATGGCGATCTGTCAGAGTAGAACTGGCTCACCCGATGTCTCACGACGTAAATACTGCACAAAGAGACCGACCAGATGATGTGTTGATGATGGTGCAAACGATAGAGGCAGGTCTCACGACTGAGCGCCAGGCACGGCTCTCACCAGTTCATGCGTGTAATGTTAACTCCCTTCGTCTTCACGAGGAGACTTTGAGATGGTTGCTATGACTCTTCCTAGTTTACAGATGAGGGAACTTTTAAAGCGTGGAGAGGTTAAGTGTCCACCCCAGTTGAGTATCGGCAGCCTGGTTCCAGAGGCAGGGCTTTCAACTAATATGTGTACTAATACAGAGGTCTTGTCCTTTCTAATGAGTGTTTTGGAGTTTGTTCCATTAAAAAAGAGCCTCGATCTTTTTTATACACCATTAGTGTCAGAATAGAATTTAAATATAAAATAGGCTTTTAAAGTATGAGCGTACTTCCCCAACATGTCCCTAACACACCAATGCCCAGCCATAATCGGGACAGCTGTGTCACATACATAAATACAGATACATTTTCTATAGGTCTCTAGTTTTCTTTTTTAAGTGGGAGCTTGCTATGTTTATAACACGCTTGTTTGCTACTTGCACATTTCATCTTTAGGTCATTTCCTAGGGATGTGTGATGAGAAGTCTCAGAGGTCATCGGAGAGGTCATATAAAGCTCAGGAGACATATCGTGGACAGCTGATGCCCCTTCAATGCTATATTTGGGTGAAATCAGGGTAAAAGGAACGTGTGGTGGTGGAGAGGATAAAGGGCAGAAGGCAGGACTGTGTGTGAGGCTCAATCTCCACCTCCTCGTCTTGTGGATGTTGGAAGCAGGGGGCACCTCGGAGGCAAAGCTGAGGTCTTTTGTCACATTAATCGGCAGGACTGTCCCTGGCACTGGGTCACTCTGTAGCAGCAATGAGGGGAGGGGGGAAGTGGAAGAATCCAAACAGGAGATTCTGACTCATCCATATTGTGGGAATTTACTTCCTGAATCTTGTCAGTGCAAGACATGAAATGAACATTTCCAGAATCAAAAATAAGTATTTTGGTCCATCTCTGGGAAATGTAAGTCCACAAATACAATCTAACTGGATTAAAAATGAAATATTTTACCATGGAAATGGATGACTCCATTAGATATGAAATTACTCTACAGAGGTGGAAATACTTGATGGCAGGATATTACAACATAATTAAATTTGAGGAGAAATCAAAGGCCAGAAACTGCCCACCATTTATCAAGGGCTTTAATCTGAAAGAGCAATTGGAATAGCTAGAGCCCGATGCTGACAAGTAGCTAGCACTCCTGATCCTTTAGAACTGGCCAATCTGCTCCCAGGGCTGCTCAGAGGAGACCCCCTTGCCCCACGAGCAGAGATGCAGGCATGAGGGAGGACCGTCTGAGTAAAAGCTCCTTGATTCACTTTCTATTTTATCTGATAAATACAGAGTTAAAACCTCTTTCACTATTATCTATTTTAAAATCATCCCTTAGTGTCTCTGGATAATGAGAAGACAGATCCTTCACGGGGAAAAGCAGGAAGCCTCCACTGACCCCTTGTCTTATGCTTGCCTCCACCACACACTTCTCTGTGTGTCCCCATATTGTTCTGTTGTTACCAGCACATCCCAAGCAAGTGGTGTGGCAATGAAAACCCATTTGCTCCTCAAGCCTGGACGCTGCTTGAGAGCAGGAGCTCTGTTATATCCTTGTAACCACATGCTCTGCACAGTCTACCTAGTATGCCTTAAGCCATTACATGTTTGTTAGAAGAGAGGGCAAATGAAGAAAGAAAATGTCAGGAATATGTGGGGTTTTAAACTGAATGAACATTTCCATTTCATTAATCCACAGCAACGACAAAAAAAAAAATACTTTGGATATCGAATCTTCTGCCACTGCCCATAGTCCTGACGTTAGCTTGATAGATCTTTTGCACTGAAAGCTGTAATGGCGGTCTTTCTTGGGGACACGTGTGTTTCCCTATCAACAGACACATTTAATGCTCCCTTTAGTGGGGAGCACGGAAGGAAGATCTGGATAGTCTCAGTCTATCATAATTAAAATAAACGAGTGTATTATTCCCTTAACTTAAAATCACTGTTCAAACTTTGCCATCCTTCATTTATCACGTGGTCCATGGGATATCCAGTAGGGATTTAGATCTACATTTCAGAATCTTATATGAAATGACTCTGACAGTGCCTACTTGGGCTGACATTAAATGACAAACAAGAAGAGACAGTCTTTCTAGAACAAAACCAAAGCATTTAGGATAGGTTTTCCAAAACAAGGGCCCTTCAACTAATAATACGTTATTTATTCTTTATACAGAGCCACAGAGTCCAAGAACACAATTCAGAATTTCTAAATAGGCCCTAAAGCTTAGGGCCTTTCATACCATCCACAGAAGAGAATCATCTCACTTACAACCGGAAATTCGCTCTAATTTAATTCAGTAAATTTCCTTCTTGAAATGATGGACTGTGGCTGCATGAGAAAATGGGAATCCACAACGGAACATTCATTATACTTAATATTCAGATGAAATCCTATAATTGGCTGCATTTGCGCTTCCTTAATTCTTTCTTTTTAATTGGCATGATTTCAAATCATATTAGTGAATGAAAAAGCAGCGATCTATTTTAATTTAGTAGCTACAGCAATGTTAAGTGATTTTATTTGTACTGATAGGAACACTGATAAATCCTGAGTTGCACTTCCCAAATGTATGCCCTAATCTTTTATTTGTTTATTTTTCCTGGGCGGTAACTGAATCATCGTGTATAATGTAACTCAAAAATAGCTTTCAATCCACTCAAATTTTCAGGCTACCTTCATTTCCTTCTTGTCTCCTTATCTGTTAGCCACCTAGGGAAAAACTTGAAGATAAAAACGATCTTCGTGTGGGTCCTTGTTTTCTTTTTTAAATCCTTATCCTACCTTATACAACATAAAATATAAAACACTTTCTTATCTGAGTGAAAAATAAGTGAAAAAATAGAATAACTGGCAAGTAAATAGAGCTTCTTCTGCTGCTGTAATTACATACAAATGTCAAAGAGCTTGGCATTCAATGTACGGGCACATCCCTAGGATGCTCCAGCCAAGTCTCCAAGATTTTGCTTGTGTTCAGACCTTCAGGCCTTGGAAGTGCTCATCCTGTATGATGTACAAAATGATCCACAGATTGTACCCATCAAAACCTGTATTTGTTTGACAGCCACCATTTTCTTGTCCAAACTCAGCATAGATCAGTCTGCTCCCCAAGAGCCAACCAGGGAGTGGCCCCACTTGCAGTGTCAACAGAGCCTACATATCATAGATTTCCCTTCCATGGATCCTCAGGGCTGTCAAGATGTTTGCTTCAACAGAGCCAGCTGAAACTCTCTTCATTTCTTGGCTTCAACCTAGACTGTGTCAGAGACTCACATGCCTGGAAGCCTGTAAACTGCACGTTCTTTCGGGTCCCAGGTCATGGAAGTGGTGACTACTTGGTCCATCAGTAGTAAAGGCACGTTCCTGTACATAAGTGATAGTCTCTTCACAGCCAAAATCAGAAGGAACTGCCCTTGAACTTCAAGCACTGACCTTTTTTAATGTTACTTGAATACCAGAATCCATCCCTCAGAGCCTAACATATTTCATAAGCTTTGGATGGAAGTTTTCAGGAAGCTCGTCTGTGCTTCTACAGTACTTTTATTCACAGCTGCTCAAATAATAGACAAACAGTCCATATACTCATTCTCTCACTGTGGAAAAATAGAGAGATTCTGGGAAAAGTGTGATCTGGAGTCAAATGTTTTATGCATCCTCACAACCTCAACCCTCCTACAATCCAATTCCAACTTCTTCTTTGAAAGACTCTGTGGCCAAGATATAGCTTTAACACTTTGCCAATCACCAATCAATGAGGCAATCCTTAGCTTCGGGGCTTAATTTTAGTTGAACTTCAAAATCTTATCTCAAAGCACTGATTATGGGTCAGAGAACCTAAGTTCTAGAGAGAGTTATTTAAATTTCACATGAATTTGTGGAGCGCCTGGTAAGCATCCAGAACAGAGGCACCAACAGTACTTGGCACATAAGAGATGTGTCCATTGGGTCTTGGACAACTGGCCAAGGTTGCACAGGTAGAGAGAAAGGAGGAGCACAGCCCAAAGACGGGCATATTCAGGGAAGAGGCAGAGACAGGATCTGGCAGAAGCAAAGGGCACGTGTTGGCACAAAGTGGGAGATAAAACTGTGACAGGGAAGGGGGCTGAGTTAGGAGCCTGTTATGTGAAGATAAATTTCTAAATGAATCCATGGGCGATACGAGGCTTTGCCTACTGAGGGCTTTCAGTAGCTGAGGCCAGGAGTAATGGGAGTTTGAGACATGCAGAGCAAACGCTTCAGTAAAATATCAGAGAGCTGAATTTGCCTTATCATTGAGTGGGACTTAAAGCAAACACAGATTTGAAGTAAAAATCACCAGCTTATAGTAATAACAACACTGAATTAAATAAAATTAAATAGGAAGTCTGGGGTTTAAAAAAATGTATACCTTGGCATGATGTAAATCAACCCCATACATGGACAGTTTTTTGGCATTTTCCAAGAAATGCATCTCTGCTTCTGCTGGCGTCATTCCTCTGATAAGAAAAAAAAAATATGTTACAATGCTGCTTTTCTTTTACCTGGCAGGGCTGCAATATTTCCCACTTAGCCTAGCTATCTCATAAGAAAGCCCCACAGAGGCACCCGCAGATTCATGTTCTGAAGGGGGTGGCAGAGAAGAACAAGAAAAATGGCTTTTTTTAAAAAAGATTTTATTTATTTATTTGATGGGGGGGGAGAGAGAGAGAGAGCACAAGCAGGGGGTGCAGCAGAGGGAGAGGGAGAAGCAGGCTCCCCGCTGAGCAGGGAGCCCGATGCGGGACTCGATCCCAGGACCCTGGGATCATGACCTGAGCCGAAGGCAGACACTTAACCGACGGAGCCACCCAGGTGTCCCAAGAAAAACGGCTTTTAAAGAACAACTGAATGGGGTTCCTGGGTGGCTCCGTCAGTTAAGTGTCTGACTCCGGATTTTGGCTCAAGTCATGATCTCAAGGTCAAGAGATCAAGCCCCATGTCAGGCTCTGCCCTGAGCGTGGAGCCTGCTTAAGATTCTCTTTCGCTCTCCATCTATCCCACCCACTCCTGCTCCCTCTCCCCGTTCTTTCTCTTTCTCTAAACAACAACAACGACAACAACAACAACAACAACACCTGAGGGAGAGTGTAACTACCCCAGAACCATACCAAGTACAGAACCTCACTCTGCTACGGTCCCAGCCTCAATGCCACTGAAACTCGTCCTGGAAGAAGCAGGTAGCGCAGGTGACGCTCACCCATCAAGGCACAAGTGAAATGTTCTCAGGGTTTCTGCCACTAACCTGTGGCTCTTGTGCAGCTCGATCACTTTATCTTCCAGTTCTTTCGTGTGGTTTGGCGCAAAGCGGAACTCACTAATGTAATCATTCCCACATTCATCTGGGTCATAGTCTCCAAGTTCGGACTGGACAGTGTAGGAGCCCAGCAGGGCCAGGGTGACAAAGGAGCAGGGCAGCCTTCCGGACACGATGTCATCTCGCAATTGTAGGCAGAGGTAGTACCTTCCAAGAGCCAAAAGACAAAGCGAAAAGCCAGCATGAGGCCATGGGAAAAGCAGGCCACTTGGTACAAACTGTGCTGTAAGCAATTCCTTCCTGTCGAATAATCTCACTAGGACACGTTTGGTAGCATCTGTATTTTGCTTTAGATCTAAGGGGAAAATACTTGGCTATAAAGTATAATATTCTGTGCTATACAAATGTATTTTGTATTATACAAATAAGGGCATTTCGAGGCAAGTCAATGCTCATAATAAAACAAGGTTTATTAATAAAGCACCGAAACCTCAAGACATATTTCTTTAACATCTTTTAAAATAGCTAACATTTAAACCCAAATCAATGATTCTCCCCAACACACTCCCTGAAATCTCTGGTTGGGGGAATCATAATACAAAAATGGTGCGGTTAAATGCAATTGCTAAGCTTCCACCAGCCTTAAGGAAGTGTCATTTTGATGTCTTGGTTAAACATCCTGCCGGATGAGCAGGGCAGATTTCAGGTAACTCACTAGCTACACCATCATAAGCTGCTCCCAGCTGCCTGCGTTTCTGACGCAACGGTCTCCTTATAATAACAATTTCTCCTGTTTCCAGTCCTCATTTTTTTATTTAGAGAACTTCCTAGAATCCAACTGATATGAAGACTAACTCTGAAGAATTACTACTTTAAAATCTGAGAACTTCATCACTACAAGTAAACAGCTTTATACTCAAGGAAAAGAAGACATTTTCCATATAATGTGGCCAAGATAACATACAGATATCTCCACTGATAGCTGACTTCTCTTCTCTGCTTCTTGCTTTTCAAGATTTACAGATATAATACTAACTGCGGGAAACTCCAAGGTAAGTGTTAACATTGATGACTCTTAAAAATACCTTTCACGGCCCAGCACATAGGTATAATAATAAAATATACTTGCACCTTTCATGTAAGAAATAAACTGTTAATCTGTTGAAGACGACGATGATTAAAGCCTTAAGGTCCCCTCTAAATGGATTTTAAGCTGATGATATAAGTAAACTCCATGTAATACAGAAATAGAAGTTTCTACACATCCCACAGGCTCTCAAACATTGCACAAATAGAAAGGAACCATGCACTACATGCCAAATCCAGGTATATGTGGCTCTATAACCAATAAATTAGCCACAATTAAGAGGTTCTTCAATATTACTAAAAAGTGTCTTTAAATAAGAAATCATAAATTTTCCTTGATTTAATACAAATATAAAAGAATTCCTTTGGAACTATTTTTTACCCTTCTCCTAATACGTCTGGTCATAGCCAGTGACTGGAGCTTTAGCATGTGAGGCTTACACAGAAAATTCAGCGCGCACTGCACAGTGTCACTTTGATTGGCTGTAAACTTACTACCAAGCAGCGCGAGAGAGTCAGCGGTTCCAAAGCAGGATGTGGAGAAGCCTAGAACACATGGCAAACCCAGCATAGCCTCCTAAAGGGAATCTCCTCGCACAGCCAAAACTCAGTCACTGCACTAGAATATTTTTACATTAGTTTCCTTTCTTCGTGTCTTCCTTCCCCAAAATGAACGAATCATTTTCCTTGTACAGACAGGGCAGGGAGAGTAAACTCTCAGATGAGTCCATGTTTACGTGTATCTCTGCATTTTATGTCTGATTCTTTAAATAGCTGTTGAGTATCAGACTGGTTATATAAAAGGCATAAGCATCCAAAGACACATTTCTACTCTGAGTTTTGGAGCAGGAGCACTAGGAATTGCCGGATCATTTAAGGCTGAATCCCATCCAGTTTGACGGTGGTGGGTGGATGACAGTATCTCAATTCTGCACATCGTCCCGCCAAGGTCAGACAGACAGAAGTATCAGCTTAGCACCAAAGATTCAACTGTGAATGGATAGGATTTGGCAAATCTTCTCATCAGATGTTTGCTCTTGCTCAGTTGCCTTTGGCTTGCCATTTCTGGAGTGGACGACTGAAAGGTTACCAGATGTAAGTAAGCTCTTCCCCGGAGAATAAAGAGAAGCCTGCCTTTTTCATAGCCAACTTTCAAATACCTGGTGATATCTTCAGATAGCTGGGCGGGGTCTGGTGGGTAAAATTTCACATTAAATGAAAAGTGCCAAGCACCACCTGCAGAGATGAGAGAAAAATTAGGATCAAACCTTAGAAAATCCCTTTATACTTATCACCCTGATAGTGAGAACTGCCTTAACTCCAAGTACTAACACCCAAGCAACATTTGCTCCTCAGTGGAAAACGGGAAAGTCTCAGGTTCATTTCATCTAGTCTTTAATCTTTTCCCCAAATCCTTTATTGGTGCTTCCAACTAGCCTGGAAATTGACTAAACTTCCTTCCTTTCTCAGGGACAAAGGTAAGCCTTTGGAAGAGAGGAAAAAAACCCCACAAATGATAGGGATAATCCTCAATCAGACAAGTCTGGAACTGACTGGACCTGCTGCTCTGAAATTCTGGATAGTTCACATACCAACAGTACAGACATAATCCCCTTTCCTTTGTCCTTTCTGCTTTGTTATTACAGGTCAAATCCCACTATAATACATGTCAAGGAAATTTTCAAGATATTTTAAGAACTTTTTTTAAGATTTTATTAATTTATCTGACAGAGGTACCAGCCGGGGAAGCAGCAGGGAGAGGGAGAAGCAGGCTGCGACTGAGCACAGAGCCCGACGTGGGGCTCGATCCCAGGACCCCAGGATCATGACCTGAGCCGAAGCGCCCCTCAAGATATTTGTATTTTATGGGAAGGTTTGTTGTAGTGAACATTTAAGTGAGCTGTTCTCTGAGCTGCTGAAAGTTCTTTTTTTACTTGGCAAAACTATTGACTCAGGAGATGCCTGAATACATGACCTGTGCTTTACAAAACCGTCCACCTCCTTATGAGCCCACGACTCGGACAGAGCCTCTCCTTACGACCTCCGCTCCAGCAATGAAAACCATCAACCAGGTGGCAGCTCACAGTCACCTACTCTCCGTACTGCCCACACTTACACTCGAAGCATCGTTAAGCCTTCCTAATTAAGCTCTCCATTTTATTAATACCATCTCTATTGGTGTCTGGTTTATCATTATAAACATGGAGAAACATTTTCTTCTTTTCTACGTTTCCTCTCTCTCTACCTGATCACTCCTTTAACTCATATTCACTTCGTTCTTTTCTTCTGTCCTTTTAATGCAGGAACTTATTAAAGTCTGGGTGTTCCTTCACTGGACGTTTGTTCTCCCCATGCAATAACCATGAAAGTGCCACAGCGTCGACCCCGCTTGTATTCTGAATGCACTACTGAAACATTCCTCCCAGTCTCCTTGGCTTCTTTACTGGAAGCCTTTCATCTACACCACAAGCTGTAGCCACTTCCTTTCACTCCGTGATTCTGTGACCTCAGAGTCCAGCCCTTATGCCTCAGATATCCCCCTAAGATGCCCAAACACCCCCTCCCCCCCATTAAATGACTTCTGGAAACTCCATTTTTTCCACAAGTCCTTTGCAAACATTCAGAAGAAAGGGGCAGTATTCTAAGTACCAGCTTCTTTCTTCAGGCTATTCTCTTGAGTATGAGGCAAATACTTAGCTGCCTTGGTTACCTACATTTCTGTCATAAGTGGCACAGGTACATTTATTAGTTCTAGTTTATTCTCAACACTACCATTCATAATACACTTAAAATTCCACACGGCAGGATCACCACCTGAGGTGCCTTATAAAGAACTGGAATAATGCCAGGTATCACTAGTTGCTTACTATCATTTTCAAATCACTCAGAAAATATTCCTGAAACACAGGCTATAAGAATTAAAAGGTATCTCTCAATCTAATATATTTCTAGTGATTATTTTTCCAAGTCTTTTTTGTTATTCAAAAAATGGTCTGATCTGATTTTACTTTCCTATTGATTCCTACGCACTTTCTGCTAAAATGGATCCCTTTACTGCTTGCCAATAGTGAGGTTCATAAACGAGAGCTGGCTTTCCCCCAAGCAACTGGAATGAAAACTAACGGATTAGTTATGGGAAATGGATTTATTGCTCTTTTATCATTTTTATCCATTTCAAAGTACGCCTTGAACCCAATGAGTAGTTTATCAATATAATTAAACAATCGCATAATAAATTCAAGATAAACTTAGACATCATAAAAGCATAAGAATGAGGGGTGCCCAGGTGGCTCCATTTGGTTAAGTGTCTGATCTGACTCTTGGTTTTGGCTCAGGTCATGATCTCCCGGTTGTGGGATTGAGCCCCACATCTAGATCCGTGCTTAGCGGTTAATCGGCTTCAAATTCTCTCTCCCTCCCCCCTCTGCTCCTCCACTCGTTTGCATGTGCACACACTGTCTCTAAAATCAAATCTTAAAAAGTATAAGAAAGATATTTCAAAGCAAAAATTCTCATGGCAGGAAAAGAATTTCAAACTGTAGTTGGCTTAAGCATCTGAGGTACTTGCTAAAAATGCCCATTTCTAGGCTCCACCCAGAGATTTTTATTCCAGAGATTTAGAATATGGATGAAGAACTTCTGGTTTTAATAAACCCCCTTGTGGTCTGAGTACAGGTGGGCTTGGGGACCATAGTCTGAAAATCATTAATCCCAAGGAATCCATTTTCATGAGGTTATAACCCAAATAACTGCAAGGTTTTGTGGGGTATTATTTTTAAAGAGTGGGAAGTTTAAAAAACTACAATCTACACCCTAGTCAAGAAAAAAAATCTAAATAAAGCATAAGATTTGAAATTAATGAGAGGCAGATTAAAGCTCAAATATATATCCCCATAAAGAATCTGATAGAAACAAATTGGGTGGGAAGCCATGATTATGTAATGAATGCGCTTGCACGCCTGAATCTGCCCAGATGATGGCCCTGATTAGACACAAGATATGAATGCATTAAAATGATATTCCTATAATGTTGATATAGGATTTCAAATCACAAATTTATGATGGAAAACTATGAAACTGAAGACAGTTCGTTCTTATAAAAAATTCTAATTTTAGTATTACATGGCTGCCAAATCTTAAAAACTTTAAATATGCTGCATTCACAGCATAAAATCACTATAAATTACTATATATAGTATAATAATCATATACTTTATATCATGAAATTATTATGTCATAAATATATTTATATCACAAAATACAGTATATTTAGAAATTTAAACATCTGGGGGGTGCCTGGGTGGCTCAGTTGGTTAAGTGTCTGCCTCGGCTCAGGTCATGATCCCAGGGTCCTGGGATCGAGTCCTGCATCGGGCTCCCTGCTCTGTGGGGAGCCTGCTTCTCCCTCTGCCTCTGCCTCTCTCTGTCTCTCATGAATAAATAAATAAAATCTTTAAAAAAAAAGAAGTTTAAACATCTGGGTCTGCATAAAAATGACTAGAATTATAATTTTTTTCATAAGAGCAAACTTTTCAGTTTCAGAATTTTCTATTTCTCATCAATTTGTAACTTAAAAGCTTTATCAGGTTGACTGACATTCTCTTGAAGATCTAGAGACATTCTATGCACCTACAGCATGAAGAGAACGGAAACATCCTTTAATCATTTATATGTGTGTGTATCTATACGTATACCCACATATTCATCGAAGTGTAGTTGACAATATTATATTAGTTTCAGATGTACAGCATAGTGAATTGACAGCTCTAGACATTACGCTATGCTCACAAGCGGAGCTACCATCTGTCACCATACAACACTACAATACCACTGACTATATTCCTTATGTGCTATCTTTCATCCCTATGACTTATTCATTCCATAACTGGAAGTCTTGTATCTCCCATTCCCCTTCACCCACCTTTGCCCATCCCTCCCCCACCCCTCAGCAGCCATAGGTTTGTTCTCCGTATTTGTGGATCTGTTTCTTTTTTGTTTGTTCAGATTCCACACATAAGTGAAATCATATGATGTTTGTCTTTCTCTGTCTGCCTTATTTCACTTAACACAGTACACTCTAGGTCCATCCATGCTGTTGCAAATGTCAAGATCTCATTCTTTCTTATGGCTGAGTAATATTCCATTATATATATACCACATCTTCTTTATCCATTCATCTATTGATACTTGGGTTGCTTCCATTATCTTGGTTATTGTAAATAATGCTGCAATAAACACAGGGGTGCATACATCTTTTTAAATTAGTATTTCAGTTTTCTTTGGGTAAATATCCAGTGGTGGAATTACTAGATCATATGGTATTTCTATTTTTAATTTTTTGAGGAATCTCCATACTGTTTTCCATAATGGGTACACCAACTTACATTCCCACCAGTAGTGCAAAAGGGTTCCTTTTCTCCACATCCTCACCAACACTTGTTTGTTGGTGGGGGGGGGGGAGCGGAGGGGCAGAGGAAGAGGAAGATAGAGAATCTTAAGCAGGCTCCACGCCTAGGGTGGAGCACAACCTGGGACTCGATCTCACGACCCTGAGATGGTGACCTGAGCCAAAATCAAGAATTGAACGCTTAACAGACTGAGCCACCCAGGTGCTCCTGTTGTCTTTTTGATATTAGCCTTTCTGACAGGGGTAAAGTGATATCTCATTGTGGTTTTGATCTGCATTTCCCTGTAATCATTTATATTTAGGAAAAGGAGGTGATGGTACAATAATTCCATTAGATATGATAACAGTTCTCTGCCTTGGTAGAATGTAAATTTTGTGGAAAGAGGGCATTTGGGTGCATGGGAAACAATAACGAATATAGATAAAAATACCAAATTCAATTAAAAAATTCCAATTGTCCTTGTTTCCTCCTTTATTTGCAGGATTGCCACTTAGTTCTCTTTATGTTGCAATCACAGATACTGCCTAATCTACATGATGAAAATATCCTTTAAATCTCATGTTCTGATTGTCCTCTTTCTTCTCTTAGAAAGGAAGGTAGGAGGGGCGTCTGAGTGGCTCAGTTGGTTAAGCATCCAGCTCTTGGTTTCAGCTCAGGGTCGTGAGATCGGGCCCGAGAAGGTAGAGATAGGATAAATGGGAAGTTGAGGGGAGAAAAAAAAAAGAATTCCATTAACAACAGATAAGAAAACTGACATTAATACAGCTTTTCTTCCACCAATATTGTGATTTATCCCTGAATTTTTAATATATTTTCAAAGGGCTTTGCAATTATAAATCACCCAAGTAAGAAACAGCATTTCATTAATTAGGTGAATACAGAGGACTTTATGCACACAATATGTTAGGATATATATTCAACACATCTGCTTTCAGTAACTCCACAGAAGGATTCTTAGAACATAGTCATCATCTTACATTTTTTATTAGGACTCTTGGAACAAAAAGAAGGAGTGTTTTCACAACTGGAGCTGTCCCTGGTTTCAGTCCCAATTTATTTCTATCAAACTTGATTATCAAATTTCTCTCATAAATATGGTAAAGAGGGGCACCTGGGTGGCTCAGTTGGTTAAGTGGCTGCCTTTGGCTCGGGTCGTGATCCCAGGGTCCTGAGATTGAGCCCCACATCAGGCTCCTCACTCAGCGGGGAGCCTGCTTCTCTCTCTGCCTGCCGCTCCCCCTGCTTGGGCTTGCTCTCTCCCACCCCTCTCTGTGTGTCAAATAAATAAATAAAATCTTTAAAAAATATATGGTAAAGATGTTTTAGTTGTATACAGAATCATCAGTCTGTGTAATATCTAGGAGTGGCTTTTTTTGAGATACAATCTACTATTAAACCATTTCAAACTGCTCACTACTAATTATTTTTTATTAGTACTCAATGTATTTTGATATCTCAGCATATTCAAAGACAATGGAAATACTTGCTCTTTTTTAATAGGAAACTGTTGAAAACTTCCATGGCCATAACATTCTTATTAATGAATTGGTCTTAAATTTATTCTTCAACTAGAATTAGTTGTTTGAAAAAATTTACCAATTTTATTGACAAAAAATAAATTGCTTTAAAAAATAGTTATTTACAATTATAAAGATTATCCATGTCTATGGTAAAAGAGCTACAGAAAAGGGTTAAAAATAAAAATAAAAATAATTCCTCTTTCTCAACCCCCTATACTATGGTGCCACTTCTGGAGGCATTTACTATTGACCTTTTGTGCTCTTCCAAAATTTATTACATATATATATATGTATGTATGTATGTATGTATATGTATATATATGTGTGTATATATTTCTTTATATATATATGCATAACTTCTTTTAAACAAATGTCACTTGTCTCACTAATGACAACTAAGACACATTCTATCTCATTCTATTAATAGTTGCTTAGTATTTCAAGGTATTGTTATTCCATGACTGATTTAATCAGTTCTTTATAAATGGATATTTAAGTTGCCTCTAGTTTTCTGCTATTGCAAATATTATAACAAACTTTCATGCATGTACACATACACACATTTTCCCCTCTAATACATATGCTGGATGAATCTGTACAAGTAAAATTAGGGGTCAAAGAATAAGCACATTTTAAATTTTAATAAATACTGACAGAGTACCCTCTTAAAGGATTGTACCAATTTATACTTCTACCAGCTGTGTCCATAGTTGTTAGTGTAGTGCATTAATAAACTTTAAAATCTGTTAACCTGAATACGTGAAAAATGGTGTCTTACTTTGCATTTAATGGTTAGTAAGATTCAGCAACTTGTCTCATACTTACTAGCTACCTGTATTTCAGTTTTGGGGATTGCCCTTGCAATTGTTAGGAAACATGCGTTTCTTAACTTGCCTTTAGGGACCAAGGAAAGAGGTTGTTACCAGATAGTAAACTTCAATCTGACTTGTTATTCCTTTTCTAAACCATTCAAGAATTATTACCTTTAGCTTGACTTTTCTACTTTTGTGGCAGTTAGGCTTAATTTAACATTAATAATTAAGTTGGGAGCTTTTAAATGGCTGACTGCCAACTGGAGCATCACTTGATTAAATCATATTGCACATTCTGGGTGCAAGCAGGGGGAATAGGTCAAATGTCATAGTCATTTCATTCCCAAGCTGTGATGATTAAAAATGGGTATTTAAGCTAGACCAACCTGTCAAATATAAAATCTGAGAGCTTACTCTGTCTTTTTAAAAAAACTGTATTCACACTAGCCATGTGGGTATGGGCCACCAATTCAGACAATCCGGCTCTCTAAAAATCTTCACACTACCATGCAAAATAATCCAAAAGAACTTACTTCGAATCTGTTTTTTTATTTCCTTAGCAGGGTCCAGCCAATTCTGAAAAGGAAATGACAGTTTGAATTTGAACCAGAGAAGAATAAAAATAACTGGATGATGATCATGAACTAAAGCGTATTTGAAAGTGCATGGTGGCAGGCCCTCCAAGCTGGGTCCTTCCCCCACAGCTGGGAGTCTAATGAGTCTAATGAGAAAATGTGTGTGTGCATGCACAATTCACATGTGACAAAATTATTTTCTTTTACAACAGCACCTTCAAAGATTTGAGCTAGTACAGCAACAAAGGAGGGAAAAAAATAGTGGATTCTATGTTCAAAGAAGTTACTAGAATAAATTAAAGATACACGATGTCCACTGACGTCCTAGCCATTCAGGCCCACAAAGTGACTTCTATGATTATAGATTCTTAGGCAATTGCCTAACAAACGAATACCTGCTTGAGATTTATTATTTTCCTCATCAGAAAACTCAGATGTTTAATAACAAAGTTAGACATTGTTCAGTGAATTGAGTAGGTATTAAGCATGATTCATTGCACAACATCAAAACAAATAACATCTATGAGCAAAATTTCTGTGACTTAGTTCCTAGCGCGAACACAAAGGAAACGTTTCCTCTTCTTTATTTTTCAGGTAGCTGTGGGCATTAAGTGAGGCAAAGCCCCAAAGAGACTGCTTTACTCGGGTGTAAGAGTCTATAGAAGTATTACATTAAACACTAAGTACCTGCTGAATACGTTAGACAAGGGTCTGGTCAGCAAACAACCCACGTCATATTCTGATTTTTGTAAGTATATGAAAGCATACTAAGATGAATTAAGAACAGGACAGTAGTCAGGGAACATGTATTCTATGTAAGTATCAATGTATTTGATTTTCATGGGCTCAAATCCACTGAAATATATCATCCAAGAAAAGAACCATATCAAATGCTCTCCTAGAACCATAAATAACTCACTCATGAAATACGGATTTACTCTTTCCAGAATATTCAAGATTAAAGGAAGTCATCAATATCTTTCAGAAAGAAGTAAGGTGATTAACAGCATTTAGGGACTCAAAGGAGTAAATATAGGAGTGGAAGCAGAGAAAATGATTTACCAATTCAGTTTTCATTCCCTTTCTTACAGTAATGAGTAGTTTGAGACATACGTTTGTATTGCTTTTAATCACTCACCTTCTGGTTTTCAGCATCTCGATACGTAAGCCCAAAATAGTCTTTTTCCAGCAAATTCAGATGTTCACATACTTTATCAAACAGCACCTGGCCTCTGGAGCGTTTCTGTGGAAAACAGAACAGAACAAGTCAACACACATAAAGTTCTCTCAGTTGCCACGGATAAAAACGGGTAAAATTTAACATACTGCCTGCTGCAACTTCAAGGTTCAATAAAGTGGGCCGACACCTACAAAACCCCGTCCTTAGAATCAACAGACAAAACCAAAACTCACCTGTGCCACTGAGTAAGTACAGGCAACCTGAGGATGATTTTTTTAATTTTTAATTTTTAAAGATTTTATTTATTTGGGAGGGGGTGGGGAGAACACAAGCAGGGGGAGTGGCAGAAGGAGAGGGAGAAGCAGGCTCGATGTGGGACTGGATCCCAGGACCCTGGGACCATGACCTGAGCCAAAGGCAGATGCCTAACCATCTGAGCCACCCAGGTGCCCGAGCGGATGATTTCTAAACAGAAGTAGCTGAGGAAATGATGCGGGGCTTGGAAGTCTGAAACATCTTGTGAAATATAAAAATCTTGAGAGTCAAAGAATACAAAGGACCAGCAAAAGCTGTGTTTCAGAACACCCTAACTCGGTCCCCACGTGACCAGATTCGGAGCCTGGGAAGAATCAAGCCTATTCCTTGGCTTAGGCAGACTTCCCCTGAAGACTTTCTATTCCAGCCCTTACTTAGAAATTCCGTTAACTTCATTAGTTTATTTTTGGTCACAAATTTCAGTTTTGTATTACAGTGTTCAACTTTCTCTTTATTTCTTTTGAAGAAATCCTTCCTATTAGACATAAAATGTTAAGTTTAAAGATTTTAGTTATCATTTATAAATATAAGATATAGATATTCATGCTACATTTTTTACCATAACGCAGTCACTTGCAGAAAGGAAAAAGGCAGTCATCTGAGGAACAAAAATCTATCAGCTTAATTTACTGTAATACCCAGTATCACGTTTTCATGGACTCCTTCAAAGGTCTTTCAACCTGGCCTTGGGGACTGAGATGGATGGTCTGGCAACAATTAAATTAAGCCATGTTTTGTTTGTATCATACCAACACTTCACACCTTATACAGTAAGCATATTTGTCTTTAAGATTTAATGTAATAACAATGAGAGATGTAAAAATTGATAGACAGTGTGCATGCCAAAATAATAAGTATTCAGAAACCTGTAAGTGGTGTGTATTATTATGCAACTGTAATTATATTGGAAGTTAACTGCTCAGCCCCCTGAAGCATGACTATTTAGGAAAAAAGATAAATCTATGATAGAAAAGTAAAGCCTAAATTGTAGCTAGCTAAATCATCAATGATGTGTTTGAAAAAAGTTTAATAATGCATGAAAATAAATTACGTATTAGCAAAACTTACATAATAACATTGTTCAATGGATATGAATAAGTGGTAGGACATGAAATGCTGCTCACCAGTTTAAATCTTTTATTTGTAAATAACAGCTTATCACATCTGAATAATGTTTAACAGATTATAAAGTTTTCATTAAAAAAATTGCTTCTTCCGATGGCTTCTACTGGTATTATCTTCAGTTTACAGAGAACAACACAGAGGTTCAGAGAAGTCAGATGAGAGAGGCAGTATTATGTAATCGTGGAGTGGTGGCTTTAGCAGATCAACCTGGGTTTGAATCTTCACTATGTTCTTTGCAGCTATGTGAACCTCTCTGTTTTTCCCTCTGTAAAATGGATATGAAACTACTTCCTTCTTTGGAATGGATGACATTAAAACAAAGTATTCAAACTTGGGTCCAGTGATGGCACATACCACGTATTCCATAAACATTAGCTATTATAGCCCAGGTGACCAACAAGTAGCAGGATCCGTAATGTAGAACTTACTATGTATGCATTTTTGCTGTTGGAGCAAATAAACAACTCCTCATGGTGCCAATAAGCAGTTCAGTATTAACATGTCCCGATCTTTCTTTAGATATTAATTACCTGCTTACTACCTAACTGCTTTAGCTAGACTACAATATTTACACCTGTACACCATGTACAGGTTTTACACATGTACACCATCCCCCGTACATACCCAAACAAACACCAGTGTCTGGCCCAAGTACTTTCTCAATGAGTAAAAGTAAAACAAAACAAAACAAATACAAATAAGTAAAGTCTTCTCTATTCTCTGACCCAGCAGCCCCTCAACTGTAGAATTCTTTCTGAATATGCAGCAGGCTGCCTTGGGCATTGTTTTAATTAGCTGTCTCCTGGCTGCTGTGTTCTTCCCTTCGTCTAACAGGTGGCATGGACTAGCTCAAGCACAGATCACTGTACTAACTAGATCGTACTTTTCTGGCTTCTCACAATTTGATTTCTATTAATGATTTGTAGCTCTCTCTTGAATAGACCAGATTTTTTCTTATTTTAAACATATTTTGAACACTACAAACAGTTCTTAAGACAATTACATAGTGGTCCATTCTTCACACCGAAGTTTGTTTTTCCCCCTAAGAACCAAGATGAGTAGTCCAGGATCTACCATAGATGGTTATATGTAAACAATAAAATTCCTACCTGCTAAATATCACCACAACCACCAGCTAGCTGGATGACACTGGAAAAGCCTTTTAAATTACTTGGGTCTTCATTTTCTCATCCTGGAGTGAGGATGTAAGATTCTATGGAGCAAGGCTGTCATGGGCTTGAGGCTATGACTGGGTCCCCTGTGTCACGGCAAACATTATTAACGATTACAAGGCTCTTTCTCATGGAGCCTGGATGTGGCTTCAGCACCCTTCTACACATGTGATAAGAAAGACTGCCAGTGGATGGAGTTGGATCTATTTCCCAGCCCTAGATAGCATCACTCCGAACTCTCCCAAATTCTTGATTCTTCTAACTCAGATTATTATTTTTTTGCACACTAGTCAACTTTTTAAGGCAATTATTTCTACTTATCAACATCTGTGTATCTTTAGGTAACAACATCTAACGTATTTGACTAAAGCTCAATAATCAGACTGAAACTTTTAAAGAATTTAAATATTTGGTTTCTGAAGACACAATATTCATTAAGTGATCAAATCTAGGTACTTTACTGTCATTGGGCATGTTTATATTATAGCCATAATGAGTCAAGAACTGAGTAAACAATGTTGACAGAGGTTTTTCTAAATTAACAGATAATTTACCTAACCAGAGAAGATAATAATTTTTAGTCTTGTTTGCTGTTTCATGTGAGTTAAGTCGTATCTCTGACTCAAGGACATTGATAGTTCATATATACCATTCACTATTAATCTCTGAACATCTAGAAAAGTCGATTTTGCTTTCCTAGAGTAACAAACGTGATAGACCACATTCTTTCTGCCCCTTTTCTCCACTAAAAAATTAGGTTTCTGTTTCTGATAAAGTAAATGGGGATATTACAGTCCAACAAAGAATTTAAATATCTAAAGAATGGTAAATCCCCCAAGCAATATGAACAACTCTCCTTCTTAACGATTTTAATTTAAAAATGTTCCATATTGACTCATGACAGTGTTGAATGTTAGGAAAAGTGTGTCAAAAGAGAAAAACTTTAAGAGAATGAAAAAACAAGCCACAGAATGGGACAAAATATTTGCAAAGACCTATCTGATAAAGGAATGTACCCAAAATACACAAAGAACTCTTAAATTCAACAATAAGAAAACAACCAAATTAAAAACTGTGCAAAAGATCTCAACAGATACTTCACCGAAGACATACAAATGTCAGAAAAACATGTGGAGAGATGTTTATCAAATACCATTAGAGAACTGCAAATTAAAAGAACAAGGCAACTCTACACACCTATTAGAATGGCTAAAATTCAAAACACGGACAACACTAATTCCTGGCGAGGATGTGGAACAATAGGAAGTCTTATTCCTTGCTGACAGAAATCCAAAATGGCGAGCCACTTTGGAAGAGAGTCTAGCAGTTTCTTACAAAACTAAATATACTCTTAATATATGATCCAGTCATCATACTCCTTGGTACAAAGGAGGTGAAAATTTATGTATATACAAAAACCTGCATGTAGATACTTTTGGCAGCTTTATGCAACACTGCCAAAACTTGGAAGCAACCAAAATGTGTCTCAGTAGGTGAGTGGATAAATAAACTGTGTTACAATCTAGAAAATGGGATATTATTCACATTAAAAAGAAATGAACTATCAAGCCATGAGGAGACATGGCAGAACCTCAAATACCTATTACTAAGTGAAAGAAGACAATCTGAAAAGGCTGTAGGTATGATTCCAGCTCTATGACATTTTGGAAAAGGCAAAACTATGGAGACAGGAAAAAGATCAGTGGTTGCCAGGGGTTAGGGAAGAGGGAGAGGTCAACAGGTGGAGAACAAAGGATTGTTAGCGTAATAAAACTACCCTGAATGGTACTATATGGTGGATATATGTCATTATACATTTGTCCAAACCCATGAAATGTACAAAGAGTGAAACTTAATGTACACTATGGACTCTAATAAAATGTATCAACATCATTTCAGTAATTACAATAAATGTAGCACACGGATATAAAATGTTGAAAATATGGAAGGGGGGGCGGGAGAAGGGAGTTTGAGGGGGTTATATGAGAAGGCTCTGTACTTTCTGCTTAATTTTTCTGTAAACCTAAAACTGCTCAAAAAAAGGTGTATTAATTAAAAAGAGGAACACTGACAAAAATACTTAATGTCTTATTTTAAATTGTTAATAATTTATTAAATACTTAAAAAGATTAATAGAGTTAAGCTCCAAATGATTTTACTTTTATCATGAGTAAATGAAAACTTAAAATTTTTATTGAGAGCAAACATGTTGGAGAAATAAAAAACTTTAGTCGCAACACATACCAATGATAAAAGCGAAATCATTTGAGGAAAAGCTGCTATGCTTCTCATCCTATGTACATACACACCAGGAACCCTGAGTCTAAAGTGCCTGCAAGCAAACCCAATATGATCTGGTAACGTACAGAAGCTGGGTGACGGTTGAGTGATTGCTCAAGATCTGCATCACACAATTAGGGAATCCAAACTATGAACAACAAGATGAGGGAA